GCCTGGGACTTACAAACATTGTTTAAATTTAACAAAACATGTAGGATGTGGAAAAAAGAAAACAAACACTTTGAGTGAGTAGAAACTAGAAATACTTTGATTGAATATAAAAAATATTTTTTGCATTGAATAAATTCACTTTTTTCCACATCCTACATGTATTTGTTAAATTTAAATATTATTTGTAAATCCCAGGCCCTGAAGATGATCTCAATAAAGCTCGAAACATGATAAATGTTTTTCTGAAACCTACATCACACCAGACCGCATTCCACAATTTACGAATAATATATGAGAATAGTGGAGCTGTTGATGTGAGGAGGGGATACAGAATCTTGTACTAATGAGTTTAATTTATTGTTAATTTCTAATTAGGTTAATTACTTGGCCATTGGTTGAGAGAATGAAGATCACAGTTGAGCAGAGAGATAGCTTCTTTCAATTCTTCTTTTTCTTCATTCTGCAGTCAAGTATGCAGTCATATTAAATCTTGAATTATTATGTATATTTTAAGTTTATTTCTCTAACAATAAAATGTTTCTCATATAAATTATTTAACTCGCACTTCTGTACGGGCATGTAGTTTATCCATTTCCATATTTAACTTATATTATTTCTAATTAACAATTTTTCCTGAATACAATTCATCTAAATGTCCACGAAATACTCCTATTTTTACTTGCTTAATCAACATATTTTTTGTTTTATTTATGCAATATTTCAAAATATGTGTGGTGATTAGTGACCGTTAGTCGATGATATTCAGAAATCGTGAGATGTGGTCTGGTGGGATGTATGTTTCAGAAATACATTTTCTTTATCGTGCCAACGTTTCAATCTTTATTGAGATCATCTTCAGGGCTCAAAGTGTTTGACTTCTGTGTAATTGTGCCATTCTTGTGTGTCGTGTCGAGAGTAAGAATGGCACAATTACACAGAAGACAAATACTTTGAGCCCTGAAGATGATCTCAATAAAGATCGAAATGTTGGCACGATAAAGAAAATGTTTTTCTGAAACCTACATCACACCAGACCGCATCTCACGATTTCTGAATAATCATTTTAAAATATGTTATATTAGTTATTCAGATGTCTCTACACATGTTATATTATTTTACAATGTCAATTTAAAAATTTAAAATAACAATGATAAATGTGCTCTCTTTTTAGGTATATTTATATGAAATAGTTTTTAAGCTATTTTCTTACTTTACTTATTGTTTAATATTTAAGTATTTTTTCCTTTCTTTTCTTATTTTTGCTTTTGTATAGGCAACACCCTACGAGAGCCTCAAATGATAAATACAACATATATGAACATATTTACTTAATACAATGTTTGTAGTTGTAAATATCGAATAAATGTAATTAAAAAAGCTTCTATATCGTAATTTTTTTATTGTACATTTCTATATTTAAACTTTTTTTAAATTGAATTAAATAAAATTATTATTATTTTTGCATCTTTTCATTCTCTTCTTCATTGGGTGTTTTTGTTTTTTATAAATGAACATTCATTCAGTTTTTATTTTTGTTTTAATAGTAAACGCATTTTCATTTTTTTTAATATAAATTTTTCAAAAATTATCCCCCTTTAACGTACTATTTCTATCGATAGTAGCTTGGACCAATATACTTGTTAAATAATTTATAAATTATCGATGTATTGATAGTGCTATCGACTATAGTCCATCTCTATTCTCTACACTCTTTTAGTACAACAAAACAACATTAACTACCTCTAACTTGGTACATCTTTCGCACCCCAGAAGTTAGAAGAACCAAGTTAGAGGCTTACCGAACTTGCGTGACATGCCACACGTACTCTGACTTCTAGAAACGTGAAGACCCTCGAAAAGGTGTGAAGGTGCATGGGCCCCTTTCCATTGAAACCATAAGAGTAAAAAGAGGATCGTTTCAACCCAAACAGTCATGGGCCTTTTCGGAAAATCACAGGAAAAAAACCCCAAAGAAATGGTAAGTCAGTTCTTAATCTAAACATAGTCATTTTTGTACACGTCAGTACAGGTTGCCCGCCCGTATCTGGAGTGTTTGTGATATCTCTACCCAGAAGTAGCCCTATCCTCGACGTACTCATCTATTAAATCTCAATTTAAATACATAAAATTGTTTCGATGTCAAACAATAGAAGTTTATTTGTCTATATGTCACTTGCCAGACATTAAAAGTTGTAATTTAGTTGTGCAATTTCTTTTTAGTTAAGTCCCTTTAATCTGTTAGTTGCGAAAGGGACTACCAAAACTACGAAGGATCTTCAACCGCACAGTTCAAAATAGCTTCATGTTATACAACAAAAAAAAAAGGGCTTGAAAACCTTGAAAAATATTTACTAATAAATTACAATTAGTTAAGGTTTATAGTTGAGATAAAAAAGTCAATGGCACGAGAGGGATTCGAACCTATGATCTTCGGCTTGATATGCCGCTGCTCTACCACTTGAGCTATCGTGACCTCAAGTGGTAGAGCAGTGGCGTATCAAGCCGAAGATCGTGAATCCCGCCGAGCCATTGACTTTTTAATCTCAACTAAAAACTTTAATTAATTGTAATATATTAATTGGTCAAGCGGACCACGAAATTAGTGAATTTACTAATAAAAGAAATATTTCGATTTAAATCAAGCGACAATGGCTAACAGAAGTCTGTCGTGTTGATCTAAAACAACAGAAACCTTTTTTCCACTATGACCTATATAGGAAGAAGCCCTGAAGTGTACCTTTTCTTACGCATTTAGTTTTTTAAGCACTTTCCCCGCTTCTGTGCATCTCTCTTGTGAGAATTGTGACTTAACTAGGCTAATGCTTCACACAAAGGTTATGTGCCAGTGTTTCAGTTTTCGCCTGACTCGGTATGTTTCTACCTATACTTACCCATCTTCTTTAGGCGATATTTAGGTGGGCGGCGACCGGTATAGACGTCTGTAATTTTCCTGAATCTTACCTGCTGCTGAGAGAGAAGAGGTCGTTTGCCTTTCTTTTTGAGATTTATATTTCTCTTAGCTTGGTATATATTTAGTGCTTTTCGAGTTTTTTCTCAAGCCTTTTTTTTCCGGCTCAAATTTTAGCACAAACTGGTGCTCATAGTTGTGGTTCCAGAACCCACCTTGAGATACCCTTGTGCTTGAATTTTTTTTCAAAATAGGATGGACAATGAGCATACTTGAAATCCTTGATAGAAAATATTTACAAATTAAAAAAAAAAATTTGATTTACATTGAGCAACAATACCTAATAGAAGTCTATCAAAGTTAGCTCAGGGTCTCGTCAGTCAAGGATAAAAATATACATACAGGGTGTCCCAGTCCCTTTCACAACTTCCTATAAAGTCTCAACAGACTATAAAGGAGAGGAAGGACACAGAAGAGCACCAGATACAATGGTATACGGATGGCTCAAAACAAACGAAGGAACTGGATCAGGCGTTTTCTGTACAAGCCCAAAACATGAGCAATCAAACTCATTAGGGAAGTACATTTCGGTCTTTCAAGCAGAAATACATGCCATTAACGCTTGTGCCCTGGAAAATCTTAAAAGAGGTTACACTGACAAAAAAATCCTCATAAGATCAGACAGCTAAGCAGCTATTAAAGCATTGGCATGTAAAAGAATTACATCAAAACTAGTCAGTGAATGCATCCAAAATCTCCAAAACCTGGGAAAACACAACAACCTGATGATATCTTGGGTGCACAGGGGAATTCTGGGAAACGAAGAAGCAGACAAACTGGCCAGAGAAGGATCTGCAAAACCATACATAGGCCCCGAACCTATCCATGGGATAACAAAAACAAATATAGAATCCTCCATCACAGAATGGATCCAAACAAAACAAAGAGAGAAGTGGATAAACTCTAGCGGTGCTAGACATAGTAAACTTATGATGAAACAACCCTCACCAAAATTGGCAAAAGCATTGCTGCAATTGGAAAGGGCCAAACTCAGAGGAGTGGTAGGACTACTAACTGGTCACTGGTATCTGAGAAAACATCTACACAACATGGATATATACAGCGATGACCCCATTCGCAGATTATGTAATGAGGAGGAGAAAACAGCCACTCATATCATCTTCGAATGCGGAGCAACAGCTCTAACGTACGAAAAAGACTCAGGGAACCAAATTGCAGCAATAACAGTCTATTACCTGATACTTCTGAGAAGAAGGATTGAGTCTATTGACTAAACTAGGGAACTGGGAAGGTACAATAAGCCTGGGGAATACAAGCCCCGCTTCCCAGTATCCTTTCCACCATACCATACCCAGTCCCTTCTGACGAAACTCAGGGAATCGATTCTACTCTTCGTTTGGAGCAAAAAATGCACAGGAGAAAATTTTCGGAAAGTTCTCTATTTTGAAGATATTCGTCAATTTAGGTTTTTTCAACTTTTCACTACCAAAACACATAAAAACACTTACAACCTCCAAAATATTGAGACTACAACAAATCCAATTACACCATTTGAAAGAACGCTAAATTTGCTGTAAGATACTTCTATTTGCAATAATCTTAATGACAAAATGTTAGCCAATATCAGTTGGAACATGTCAAAATTTAAAATGAATAAATAATAAATTTTATTTTACAAAGGGAGTTCTAATTGATTTATTTCTATCCACCCCGCTCTTCAAATTTACCTGTTTTCGAGCATTCAATTGTTATTTTTCAACTCTACTAGAACGTTATTTAAAAACCTGAATATATCAACGAAAGCATATTAGATGAAGAAGTTTTTGTGAAATTTGACAAGTTGTAGGTATTTTTTTGTAACCTCAGTAGAACGTGCAATCATGACCAAAATTTTAAATTTGGTAATTTTGACATGTTCCAACTGATATTGGCAAACATTTTATGTCATTCAGATTATTGCAAATAGAACTATCTTACAGAAAATTTAGCGTTCTTTCAAATGGTGTAATTGTATTTGTTGTAGTCTCAACATTTTGGAAATTGTAAGCGTTTTTATGTGGTAAGGTAGCGAAAAGTTGAAAATACCTAAGTTGACGAGTATCTTCAAAATAGTGAACTTTCTGAAAATTTTCTCCTGGCATTTTTTGCTCCAAACGAAGAGTAGAATCGATTCCCTGAGTTTTGTCAGAAGGAACTGGGACACCCCGTATAAACACTAAATACTCTGTACATATAATACAATTATTGGGTTGTAAAATCGAGGAAAAGTGTGCATTTTCAACGATTAATAGGTTTTTTTTATTACTGCAAAGGAAAAACAACAGCTGAGACAGGAGAAAGCTGTAAGTGGTTTGCTTGGTTCAGAAAGAGAAATTTTCATTTAGAAAATGCAAAGAATTCTATTTGACCTTCAACTGTTGATGCTGACCAAATTAATGATTTTGTCACAAGTAACACGAGACATCGCAGAAACATTTAACATATCTCAACCCGATTGTTTGAGGCAACTTAAAGTGTTATTAAAGCGATATATGAGTTGATATGTGTTGGAGAAGAATTTATTGGATTGCATCTGCAATTCCCTCATAAAATGCAATGTAAACAGCCCATTTTTAAAAAGATTGTTAACTTGGGATGAAAACGAAGTTCTTTACGACAATGTTCAACGAGGAAATTCCTGAGGAAAATGGAAGGACTCTCTGTTAACGACTCTAAAAACAGGATCAAGTCTCAAGAAGTTAATGTGCATTTGGTGATGTTGGAAATGGGTGCTATTTATGGCCTTTTTCTAACCAAAGACAGCAATCAACTAAAAACTATCAGCAATGGCTAATCGCATGGTGATTTTGTTATACACCAGGATAACACGCACAAGAAATCGTCGGAGCTGGCTGGGATGTTTTACCCCACACAACGTATTCGCGTGACATTGCCCATTCAGATTTTTATTTATTCGGGGTCTGTAAAACTTTACTTCACTTGAGGATACTGACGAGTTCACTGCTAAAAAACCTGAGAAGTTCTGGAAGGATAGAATTACAAAAAGAAAATGGCTCAAACATTATTGATTGAATTTGTTTACTAGTACCTGAAATTTTGATTAAAAAACATAATGGACTTATTTTATAGCCATTAAAAACAAGTTAGTCTGGTAAGGGTTCATTCTGCCCCAGAATATTCGATATTCATCGAGGTAGGAGAAGAGCCCCTCCATTCACGCTAATAAATACAGTCACCCACTCCAAACTTCAGTCACACTGCCCCAGAATTCTTATTCCTTAGTGATTCCGGAAATTTGGTTAAATATTTTTTCATATTCACTTAATTTGATGTATTCCTATATATTAAATTTAGCAAACCAATATTTTCCATTTCCTCTAATGACTTAACTACCCTACCTGAGCTACTTAACAAACAGGGATTCTTAAAACATCCGGAAAAGTTTTTCATTTTTAGGATAAGTTTCTTTTTCTATAAAGTACTTTGTTCCACACATTTTTCCTACTGCTTTTGATTAGTTCCAATGCCTATAATTTAAGCTCATTAAGGGTCATAGAGTTTTTTTAATTAAAACTTTCAGTTGTACTGGACTGGACATCCACATCACAGCAAACATTTGCCATGTCATTGTGACTTCTTTGTTACATTCGATTGACTATTTGATCAGTAGTAAATTTACCATTTGTAACTTAAAAGTTGACACATGATATTGTTCAACAATTTATTATAAAAAATCTCCATGGAAACATTCTGAGAGTTAATTGTAATTCTTTGTGTGTGAATACATTGAGACGATTTTCTCTGTTCTTTTGTGTTACCGACTTAATAAGGTGATTGCTTGAGTTTGCTAATTTGAAGATTCAAGATCGACAGATTGGAAGACAATATTGATTTAAATTGTTTTTCAATTTTCAATACCCTGCAGTGACTGTAAGTGTACTACTGAAACCGTTGAGATTTTTTGACAGTGAGACATAAAAATATTAATTTTATCCATTAATACAGGTTATTAACAGTATATTAAAACTACAACATCACTTGATTTGATATAGGAAATTAAATACAACTGCGTGTTACGCAGTGCATAAAGTATATACATTGTACTTATTCATCACATCCCTAAGACCAATTTGCTTTCTTAAATAAAACACATTAAAGAAATGAATTTTTTCGCGGCTGCAAGTGCTGTTGGATTTGCCTATTGCTTGTTCAATTCTTTTTTGACAATAAGAGAAGATAGGCGACAAAAAGAAAAAGAAAGGCGAGCAGCTGAAGAGAGAAAGAAAAGAGAATATGCCGAACTAAGAAAGCGTAGATTCGGCGTGAAACTTGATTTATCTGAAATAATTCAAAAATGCAGCGGACCCAACCTTGAGATACTCGAAAATATGGATGAGGAAACGCTTAAGGAAATAGTAAAAGCATGCGGTTTTCAACAATTCAACGATGTAACATTAGCCACCGGCGAGGCTGCTTTGAGATTCGGTGGATCACAACTCATGTTCGACATTGTGAATGGATGCCCTACTCTCGATAAGTGAGTCAATATCAAATTATTGCAGTCTACACTTTTAACTATAATTTAACAATTTCATTGTGATTTCAGAGATGCGGATAAATTTCTACTTTTCCCCCCAGCTAAACAGTGAATTTCTACCTCATTCAAGACCAACATTTCGTATAAAATAAAGACTTTCTAATTATTAAGACTTTTTTTCTAATATAAGATTAAAAAGTATATATATATATATATACTTCTGCATTAAATAAAGTTTAAACGGCAATAATTAAGCGAAGTAAAAACAAAGTATTTAATTCCTATATTACAGGTTGGCTTAACATCCTATTAATTAGATAAAAACCTAACATAAATGTTCATACTTTCGTTTTTCTTAATAATAGCAATTAGTTTGATTGACTAATATTAAAGTTAAAAAGTGATGGCCTTTTTACGACCTTATATCTATAGTGCATTCTTTGTTATTAATTTAGAGCTCTTAGTTAAGCTTGACACTTTTATTAGATCACACAGCTTTGTCATGGAATCCAGTTGGCCTTGGCTTTTCCTCTCCTAGGAGTAGCCTGCATAATCCTTCGCACCAACAAAAGACAAGTTCCGATGTTCTGCTGTTTCTTCCTTCTTTCTGGCCCAGGCTTGTTTCTGCCACTCTGACACTGTACATGTCTCTGCAGTCCAACTACCATTCTATCATAATAACTAGATATATTAGGCATTAGGTACAAATGGATAAGAAGCAGACTACCTGGCTATGTTATGCCATATAATATTGTGTGGAAGGTGTGGTCCTGGCTAAAATAAAAACAATAACAGTGAAAAATAATTTCCATTTTTTTAATGGTTTTTATTTTACCTTTCATATTTTTCTTTATTAAATCTTGTGCACAGAGTTGTATTGCATGGACTTAGGCTTGAAAAATTGTTGGGATTAGTATAAGGTGCTTTCACGAACCCTGGATAGGGTATGGTCTTGAAAAATGAAGCAAATGTGTATAAAATTAAAAATGTAATAACTGCCAATATCTATCTAAAATGGTCCCAGTTTTGGCTGGTAGAGCCCTGCTGTTCGCTATACTTGGTCGATCTGAATCTTGGTAGCTTTACAGTCAGTTGGTACATTTCAAAGCATTTCATCCTCCGATTAAGTGTAACACTACAGTCTTTTAGTGTGTTGGGAGACTAATCTACTTCAAATGTCAAGTTCAGTCTGTAGTACCCCCTGCTAGGAATCTAAGGTAATCATGTTTATGTCCAGTGAGAAAATTCCATTGTTTCATCATGTCTTCTTTCTTAAGATGCTCATCGATAATGTGAATCCTTAAACTACACAAGAGCTCAGAACGTATCAGCAGTGTAACAGCCTTTTTCCTTACAAGGGTCTGCTTCTACATTTTGCCCCTACTCCTGTGTGTGATCCAGTAGAGTGTAGCCTTGCTATGCGCACCTAATCTGTTTAGTTTAGTTTTGCAATTCAGTACCATTTTTGAACAAATGTTTAAGTTTAATGATATGGCGGCTGCTTGGCTATCAATGTAGAGAGAAAGAGAAACTACTTTATTCTGGGACTAGATCCCTAAGAATAACAAAATCGTCACAAATTTTTTTACAAATCTGGCACTTGAATTAATGAAGGTTTGACGTTAACATCAAGCAAAAAAGTGAAATAATACAAAGTATAAAAAAATATAAATAATAGAAGCAATAATAAGGATTTAGGGAAAAGTAGTAACAATAAAGAATGTTCTGTTTTTTGCAAACATAATCACGTACTGTCAGATTAAAAGGAGGTAGCAAGTTTCCTACTGTAGCAAAAGCACCTAATAATATTGTGAACTATGTTGTCTCTGATTGACAAAAGAAGAGAATTCTAGAGATTGGTGACTCGAGGAAGGACCTCTCAAATGTATTCAGATGTATTTGAAATGAGATTTTATGATGAGGAAAATATAGGTCATTGGGAGACGAGTGGGTGTTAAGAGTGAGGATAGAGGATTTGAACTGAAGTAGCTTGAAAACATAGCTGTTTCCTTGTTTTTGTACCCTATGTTCAAATTGACTTGCTTGCATCTCTCAATCGTGAAGATTTCTGCTTGAAAAATACTGGTGTATGCCCATGGTAACTATTTGGTTTTGGAGCTAAATACTCCTGTCCCGTACCTCCTTGCATCCTAGATCCTAGTCAACCAGTAAATAGTCCCTTTTCTATTTGAGGGTTTTTCCTTTTTCCCACTCTTTTTTGGTGCATAAGTTTGTAAGTTTTGTTTAAAATATATTTTGTCTCTAGGGGTGATGAGTATTGTTGGATGTTCTTATCTCCATTTATGTCCAGTGAGAAAATTCCATTGTTTCATCGTGTCTTCTTTCCTAAGATGCTTGTAGATAATGTGGATAAACTACAAAAGAGCTCCGAACCTGCAGCAGTGTAGCAGCCCTTTTCCTTGTAAGGGCATCTGCTTCTTCATTTTTACTCTACTCCTGCGTGCGTGTACTGGATGCTACCTATCCGACTTGATAGCTATGTCATAGTTTTTCACCTCATTTAAATGAACTTGTGTGCATCTCTCAATTGTGAGGATTTCAGCTTGAGAAATTCTGGTGTATGCCCATGGTGACTATTTGATTTTGGAACTAAATACTCCTGTGCCATCTTGCATCCTTGTTTAAAATTTATTTTGACTCTAGGGGCCACGAGTATTGGATGCTCTTGTCTTTCCATTTAAGTTTTAATCCATTAGGAGATTCTTTTTTTGTTGATTTTAATAATAGTTGTCTTTGCTGTCCTTATTATTACATGGTGGAGGGGGATTAGTCCTAATTTTTCTTCATGTCCTCATCACTCCAGTGTGAGCCTGTATTTATTGTTTTAGTGCTTTATATTTTGACTTTATCAGAGGCACACGCACTGCATATGAGGATCAGGCCCACAATCATGGAGTGCATCCAGAGGAGAATTTTTGGCTTACATTCCCAGTTTTTAAGTATCCTTCTGCACACGCGGCTTTTTGTGTATCAGCACGAATATGTTCTCTGAATGTTAGCTTTTATCTAGTGTAACTTCTAGATATTTGACTTCAATTTTCAGCTAAAGGCAGTAACAATTGAATTTGGTTTATTATTCAACACCATACAAAGATCCATAGTGTTCATGAGCGAAAAAAGTGACCAATACTTCTATTAATGAAAACAGAACCTTTCTAAGGGACTTGACACCCTTATTTTGGGTAAAGTTGGAGTTGAAAGCTGGCAATACTTTGTGCTTTTATGGCTGGCTGCCTGGCTGACTGAGAGTATGTAAATCTGTGCACCTTTTATATTTTTCTTTATTAACTCCTGTGCACAGAATTGTATTGCAAGACCTAAGCTTGTAAAATTGTCGGGATTAGTATAAGGGGCTTTCATGAACCCTGGATCAGGGTATGTTCTTGAAGAATAAAGCAAATTCAGTTTTTACTGCCTGTTTGACTTTATTGCTTTATTCTTTAAGACCATACATTGATCCAGAGTGTTCATGAGTGAAAAAAGTGGACAATACTTCTAATACTGAAAATAGAAGCTTTCACAGGGACTTTGAACACCTACTCCCTATTTCATCTTCCATCCATCTGTGTACCTATAACTGAAACTTGGGGCTACCTTTCTTCCAAAATATTTTCTTTGAACCCCAACTTTTCCTACAAAGGTGTTTATATCTAAAAATGGAAATTTTCACTCCCTGTGTGGTTTTATATAGTTGTTGATTCCGAGAAAGTCTTTGGTCAAATATGATGCCAAAAAAGGACTACAACTCCATTTACATTTTACCAAAAAGGCCTACTCCTTCTAGGGCCTTTTGTTTGGCCAAGAAGTAATATTTACTCATTTAAAGAAATGTTGAAATGATAATGTATAATTAAAAGCCAAATTGATTATAATTAATCAATAATTTGTAATTTTGAAGAAGTACAGTATTTCTATGCTTTATAAAATGGTTTTCCAAGCAAAAGAGTCAATGACAATAATTATTCTGTATTTAAAATTTGGTGATATCATTGTTCTTCTTTCTCTTTTTATTATTTTTATCTTATTTACATTTAGTTTATAAAAATTAAGTTTAATATCAAATATGCAGTTAATGCTGAGAAGGTATGTTTTTAAAGGAATTCTTAGATCTATAATTTTATCTTATTTATTTATTTTTTTAAGATTGCTTCTGCTTTTGGAACATTATTAGCGTAGTGCGTTTAATGTTGGATGAAAAAAATGGAATAATTTATTAAGGATCTCAACTTTTCCCAAGGTGTTTACATTTAAAAATGGAAATTTTCGCTCCCTGTGTGATTTTATATAGTTGTTGATTCCAAGAAAGCCTTTGGTCAAATTTGACGCCAAGATAGTTCACCTTTTTAGAGAAAAGGACAACTCAATTTACCTTTTACCAAAGGTGGTATGTGTGGATTATGAAGCTACATGAATTGTTATAAATGATCATCAGTGATGAATGATTGATTAATGATCAGTGTTAACAAAAATCATGCTAATCAGCCACTGGTGATGATATGGAGCCCGAACACATCTGACAGATGAAAGCAATGAGGATAGGCAGATCAAAATGACTAAAAAAGACCAAACTGCACGTTCATCACCTCATCATCATCAATTAATTTGATGTATTGCTAAATATCAATATAGCAAACCAATCTTTTCCATTTTGTCTAATGGCTTTTTCTTTTTGTCGCCTATCTTCTCTTATTGTCAAAAAAGAATTGAACAAACAATAGGCAAATCCAACAGCACTCCCCCATAGCTGCTTAACAAACAGGGATTCTTAAAACGTTCTAAAAAATTTTACATTTTTGGGATGTTTATTTCTTTTTCTATAGAGTATTTTGTATCGCACATTTTTCCTACTGCTTTTGATTTTTCTACAAAATAATGCCTATAATTTAAGCTCGGAGTCAGAGATTTTTTAATTAATATATTTAATGGCACTGAAGTGAACATATACATCACACAAACATTTGATATGTCATTGTGACGATGCAGCAACTTTGATACATTCATGTCTTTTATAGTCTTATTCAGTTTGCATATATTAATACTATCATATGCGATTTTATAGTCAATAAAATGATGTGGCCTACACTTTTTTACTATATATTCTTAAGCTTGATTATTTGATCAGTGGTAATTTACTGTTTCTAACTTCAAGGCACTACATGTACTAAAGGAATTTGCACAAAAAATAATAGTACGCACAATATTCATAATTACACAGTTCGACTAGTAGAAAAGCAAAAAAAGTTGACCCATATGATATTGTTCAACAATTTATTATAAAAAATCTCCATGGAAACATTCTGAGAGTTAATTGTAATTCTTTTGTGTGAATACATTGAGACGATTTTCTCTGTTCTTTTGTGTTACCGACTTAATAAGGAGATTGCTTGAGTTTGCTAATTTGAAGATTCAAGATCGACAGATTGGAAGACAATATTGATTTAAATTGTTTTTCAATTTTCAATACCCTGCAGTGACTGTAAGTGTACTACTGAAACCGTTGAGATTTTTTGACAGTGAGACATAAAAATATTAATTTTATCCATTAATACACGTTATTAACAGTATATTAAAACTACAACATCACTTGATTTGATATAGGAAATTAAATACAACTGCGTGTTACGCAGTGCATAAAGTATNAAAAAAAAAAAAAAAAAAAAAAAAAAAAAAAAAAAAAAAAAAAAAAAAAAAAAAAAAAAAAAAAAAAAAAAAAAAAAAAAAAAAAAAAAAAAAAAAAAAAAAAAAAAAAAAAAAAAAAAAAAAAAAAAAAAAAAAAAAAAAAAAAAAAAAAAAAAAAAAAAAAAAAAAAAAAAAAAAAAAAAAAAAAAAAAAAAAAAAAAAAAAAAAAAAAAAAAAAAAAAAAAAAAAAAAAAAAAAAAAAAAAAAAAAAAAAAAAAAAAAAAAAAAAAAAAAAAAAAAAAAAAAAAAAAAAAAAAAAAAAAAAAAAAAAAAAAAAAAAAAAAAAAAAAAAAAAAAAAAAAAAAAAAAAAAAAAAAAAAAAAAAAAAAAAAAAAAAAAAAAAAAAAAAAAAAAAAAAAAAAAAAAAAAAAAAAAAAAAAAAAAAAAAAAAAAAAAAAAAAAAAAAAAAAAAAAAAAAAAAAAAAAAAAAAAAAAAAAAAAAAAAAAAAAAAAAAAAAAAAAAAAAAAAAAAAAAAAAAAAAAAAAAAAAAAAAAAAAAAAAAAAAAAAAAAAAAAAAAAAAAAAAAAAAAAAAAAAAAAAAAAAAAAAAAAAAAAAAAAAAAAAAAAAAAAAAAAAAAAAAAAAAAAAAAAAAAAAAAAAAAAAAAAAAAAAAAAAAAAAAAAAAAAAAAAAAAAAAAAAAAAAAAAAAAAAAAAAAAAAAAAAAAAAAAAAAAAAAAAAAAAAAAAAAAAAAAAAAAAAAAAAAAAAAAAAAAAAAAAAAAAAAAAAAAAAAAAAAAAAAAAAAAAAAAAAAAAAAAAAAAAAAAAAAAAAAAAAAAAAAAAAAAAAAAAAAAAAAAAAAAAAAAAAAAAAAAAAAAAAAAAAAAAAAAAAAAAAAAAAAAAAAAAAAAAAAAAAAAAAAAAAAAAAAAAAAAAAAAAAAAAAAAAAAAAAAAAAAAAAAAAAAAAAAAAAAAAAAAAAAAAAGTGGGAAAAAGGAAAAACCTTCAAATAAAAAAGGGATTATTTACTGGTTGACTAGGATCTAGGATGCAAGGAGGTATGGGACAGGAGTATTTAGTTTCAAAACCAAATAATCACCATGGGCATACACCAGTATTTTTCAAGCAGAAATCCTCACGATTGAGAGATGTAAGCAAGTCAATTTGAACATAGGGTACAAAAACTAGGACACAGCTATGTTTTTCAAGCTACTTCAGTTCAAATCCTCTATCCGCACTTTTAACACCCACTCGTCTCCCAATGACCTATATTTTCCTCATCATAAAATCTCATTTCAAATACATCTGAATACATTTGAGAGGTCCTTCCTCGAGTCACCAATCTCTAGAATTCTCTTCTTTTGTCAATCAGAGACAACATAGTTCACAATATTATTAGGTGCTTTTGCTACAGTAGAAAACTTGCTGCCTCCTTTTAATCTTACAGTACGTGATTATGTTTGCAAAAGACAGAAAATTCTTTATTGTTACTACTTTTCCCTAAATACTTTTTATTGCTTCTATTATTTATATTTTTTATACTTTGTATTATTTCACGTTTTGCTTGATGTTAACGTCAAACCTTCATTAATTTAAGTGCCAGATTTGTAAAAAATTTTATGACGATTTTGTTATTCTTAGGGATCTAGTCCCAGAATAAAGTAGTTTCTCTTTCTATCTCTATTGATAGCCAAGCAGCCGCCATATCATTAAACTCAAACATTTGCTCAAAAGTGGTACTGAATTGCAAAACTAAACTAAACAGATTAGGTGCGCATAGCAAGGCTACACTCTACTGGATCACACACAGGAGTAGGGGCAAAATGTAGAAGCAGACCCTTGTATGGAAAAGGGCTGTTACACTGCTGATACGTTCTGAGCTCTTTTGTAGTTTAAGGATTCACATTATCGACGGCGTCTTAGGAAATAAGACACGATGAAAAAATGTAATTTTCTCACTGTACACAAACATCCTAACTGAATGGATATTTGAGGGGGATTGGTCTCCCAACAGACTTATTAAAAGACTGTAGTGCTACACTTATTCGGAGGATGATACATACAATACTTTGGAATGTATCAACCGTCTGCAAAGGTACCAAAATTAATACCGACCAAGTGTAGCGAACAGCAGGGTTCTACAAGCCATTACTGGGACCATTTTAGATAGATATTAGAAATGTTATTACAGTTTCAATTTTGTACACACTACAATTCAACTATAATACTTTTAAATTAATATGTTTTGATATTTGATTTCTTATTTAAAGTTTTTAAAAAATAGATTTCACAAACTGTGTTTGCAACATTTTTATATTGTGGGGAAGAATATCATACAAACCCATTTAACCTACAAATTTGCGGGTATTTTATAGTTGTTTTTATTATCATAGTATACATAGTATTACAGTATATACACACCATTTTTTTCCTCCTATGGGGGAAAATGATATTTTTTTCTTTAAATGTTTTGTCTTTAGCTGCCATTAAGCCAATGAAATGTTTATTTTCTATCTTGTATTTTCAAAAAATGTGCTTTGGTTTAATCTATTTGGCTATTGAGCTATTTTATCACATAATTTTGATCGTAAAGGTGAAACAAAAAAATACATAAAGTATGTGGTTGATAAAATTTGACCTGTAAAACTGTATGGTTCTTCAGTGGGTTTAGCCCCAATTCATGTTAATAGCATTTAAAGGAAGCAGAAGGTTCAGAAAAGTATTTTACTTAAGGGATAGTACTCGGAGTTAGGGAGATTGGGCTTGTACATTTGATGTGTCACAGGTTTATTTATATTTTCTTTTATATATTTTAAATTTGTGAACTTTTTGGCGGTTAATCAAAAACTAATAACTATTGCCATCCAAAGCTTTAATTTATCCTGTTAAAATTCTTAATTTGGAAGGCCAAATGTATGCAAAAATCCCATTTTAATTATAAAATTTATTTGTGTTCTTTAATTAGAATTTCAAATTTTTGTTCCACAATTTAAACATTTCTTGTAGACTTGTATAGCCAATAATGATAATAATAATAATAATGATCCGCACTGAGTGAAACTGAACACATTGGGTGTAACCAATATGTCATATGCACTGACTCACTCGGAGCGGTCTTAGCCATCTGTAATATCTACCCACTAATCCAGGCAATACAAGAGAAAATGAGGGAAATACACGAACAAAGAAAAGAGGTAGTTATTGCCTGGATACCTGGCCATGTAGGCATGGAAGGTAATGAAAATGCCGATCAAGCTGCCAAATGAGCAGCGACAATGCCACGACCCGGAAACTCCCGTGAGCCCAGCGGACGTCAAAAAATATATGAAGAATCTGTGTTGGAAAGATTGGCAGAACCGCTGGGACAGAATGACCGACAAATTAAAAGAACTAAAACAGTCTGTCAAACTGTGGGCCATGGATAGTATGAGCAAAACAGAGAGAATAATTACAAGTAAGTAAGGTTGTTTAGTTGACATAAAAAGTCAATGGCACGAGCGGGATTCGAGCCCACGATCTTCGGCTAGATACGCCGCTGCTCTACCACTTGAGCTATCATGACTTCGATCCACTCGGACACTAACTTCTTATCTCAACCCCACCTTTTGAATGCGTCCCAGTGGATCGAGGTCACGATAGCTCAAGTGGTAGAGCAGCGGCGTATCTAGCCAAAGATCGTGGGTTCAAAAACCGCTCGTGCCATTGACTTTTTTATCTCAACTAAAAAACTTTAATGAATTGTAATATATTAATTGGTCAAGCAGACCACGAAATTAGTGAATTTAGAAAGAATAATGTTGACCCAACTTCGAATAGGCCACACTAGACTGACACATGGTCATCTCTTGGCAAGAAAAAGTCCACGGAGATGCCCATTGTGCGACGCACAAATAACTGTTAAGCATTTACTAACCGAATGCGAACTATTGGCGACGCACAGAACAAAGTGTGACCTTTCCTCGAGTTTGAAAGAGGTTTTACGACACAGCAATGACAACAGCAAGAAAGTAATCGAGTATCTGAAGCAAATAAATGCATATGGTCGCCTTTAATGCTTCTCCACACGTGGTTTCGTTTTCCCTTCCTGAAGTGAGTGTATTTATTGGCAAGAATGTGTGAGTGTATGGGTGGATAGTGGTCAGAATATCGAGTACACCACGGACCCACCAGAGTTGGGCAAAATCTAACTAATTCAATCGTGATTAAGAATTTTGATTGAAGTTTAATCATGATTGAATTAGTCATGAGTAAATTAATCATTATATGATTTAGTCATGATTAATCCAGTCATGAGGTATGACTAAATTATACAATGATTAATTTACTCATGACTAATTCAATTATGATTAAACTTTAATCAAAATTCTTAATCATGATTGAATTAGTTAGATTTTGCCCAACTCTGGCTACAATGACCAACTTACCAAAATCCAACAGAAACCGGATAAAAATTTTGAGATGAGAGTCGTGCTCAAGGCACCTTCAAAAAGTATTATCATAAACGAAAACCAAAGTTACATAATTATTCTACATTTCTATTTTATTACAATCAAAACCCCTAGATGGTGTATTTTCCAAATAATGTAGAAATCTCTCCATTTAAGTGGAATAAATTTTAATTCAAAGAAATATTTTTCCCATTGATCGGTTATGTAAACATATTTACTTTTCAAAGCTTAGCTTGTTCTAGGATTTTTTTATTTTATTTTATTATCATTATTTTTTGGCTTTTCATATCGACGGAGTTTTACTTATAATTGGAAGATTGATTTTTGTTAAATAAGGTGTTGAACGATTTTCGTTTTGATGAAATAAATTTCTGTTAGAAAATGTTTTAAAAGTGAAGTTGTATGTTTTTTATTTTTTGAGCACCCATTTGAACATGATTTATCAAAATTTAGTCATGACTAACTATATTGTGACTAAATTAGTCATGCCTCGTATTCTGTCTGAGTGATCAATCATTAATCGTTAGACATGAATAATTTTTGCCCAACACTGAGACCCACCAAACTAGGATAGATATCTCTTTGTGTGTTTTGGATAGAATGAATGTATTTATTAGAGTGAAAGTGAGTGTGTATGGGTGGGTTGTGCAGGAATATCGAGTACTCCACAGACCCACCAATTTAGGTTAGTATTAGGCTGTAATATCTTTTAGAGTGAATGGGCAGAGGCACTGTTGTAATATTAAATGCGCCAGTGGCTCCGCATTTTTTTTGTAAATACAGAATGATTGGTTAATGTTTGAGTGATTGTATTTATTAGTGCGATAGTAGGGTATGCATGGGTGGGTCTATGGTGGAATATCAAGTACCCCATAAACCCATCAACCTAGGTTAATATTTTAGATTAATTGTAATTTTAATTGTACATAATGGATGTATTTATTAGCGTGAACGAGGGCAGGTCTTCAGAGGAATATCGAATACTCTGAAACCCACATATAGGCTAGGCTAGGATTGAATGCTAGTGAATAAGATAGTTTCAGAGCCTTTTCACCACGTTTGGGAGGGCTAAAAATGTAGAAATAACGTCCCAGAACACAACCAGAAAAATCGCCAGACTTCCTCCACAAAAGCTAACTTAAAAAAACACAATAAATAAATAAAAATAAATAAATTTTTAAAAGGTGAAAGAAATGTGAGGTGCCGGCAATAGCCCAGGCAGCGAGCTGGCCGGAAAAAAAAAAATAAATAATAATAATAATGATGGAGTCAGACTAGCAATAATCTCAGCATGAGTATAGACTCATTGTTTTTGTTTTTTTCAGTTTATGTGAGGACTTATTTATATCTATTTAGTATTATAACAATTAAGTTTTAGTAAAAGTAGATAATAGGTAATAATATTTATGACTATATTTATATTATTTTGATGTAACATTTATAATTAATTATTGAAATTGGGGGGGGGGGGGAGTAAAAATAACTGGATTTTGAATAGATAGATTTGTAAAATATATAATTTTTGTAACAATTATTTTAAAGAACAGTCAATAATGGGATTGTAAATCAAAATCACAACTGTTTTTACAGCTAGTCTTAAAATTATGCACATTCTCACATTATTTTTTAAATCGTAAACAATTTTTTGTAGGAAGTCGCGAGGATGGGAGAAAGAGAGAAGGGAGAAGCTTAACATGGGATTCAACGAACTGTGCAAACTTCTTCCTGACCATGATCCCTCCGTTACCTTGAGCAAAATGGAAATACTGACCAGAGCCGCTGAGTATATAAGGCATCTGCAAGATCAGAACGAGGATATCATCAAATGTGGGAGCAAAACGAGTTTAAGTATGGGATTATAAATTAGAATTTCTGCTGTTTCGGATTTTTTTTTTTTTTTACAATTTTCACTTTTGCAGAGAACGAGGCAGAACGATTGAAGAAAAGAGTTGCTTTCCTTCTGCTCAAGACAAAAGAATTGGTCAGTGCTTTGAGAGTGGCAGGTGTACCAATTCCCACTAACAAAAAACGAAAAAAAAGCGTTTCAAAGAAGCAAGCTGCTAACTCAAATACAAACAATACTAGTAATTATTTTCTTTATAACTAGAATAAAAAAATATTTGTAGTTGGTTGTTTTCGATCATTCAGTCTGCTTGTTTGGTTTGTCGGATGCATATCGGCTTTTCACCATTTTTAATGCTGGGTATGTGGGGACTATGTGCTACATGAATCATCAGTGGTGAATTAGTACAAAAAAACTTATTAATCAGCCACTGATGATTTTATGGAACCTGACATCTGACAGACGAAAGCAGTGGGGATAAGCAGACCAAAATGACCAGAAAAGACCAAACTTTCATCACCCTATGAAAGAAATCTCATAATTAAANTATCTCAAATAAAACCCTTAATTAATTGAAAGATTGGTCAAGCGGACCACGAAACTAGTGAAATTAATCAGAGTCTTAAGAATATATTTATTTATAAATTTTCTTTTTTAGGTGTTCAGAATGGAGTAGCAACCACACAAGATAAAAACAACATTTCACCTAAGAAATTGTGCACAAAAAACACAATTTGTAACGTCGTTTCAGCATCACCAATTGTGATGCCAACAAAAGCAGCAACCACGACTTTTCCCTTAGTTGCAAACGCTGGAATTGTCATGACAGCCTCTCCAATTATGAAGCCCGTTGTGGCCGCTGGGCTACAGCCGATTGGAATCGATAAAAAAATTCTTAGCCGATTAGGCCCAGGAACTTTGATATTAGCCGATGGCAGAGTTGTTAACATGCCTCCCATAGTTCCACAAATTGTGGTCAAACCACAACCGCCAGCGGTTCTGGTGATGCAAAGGGTCAAAAAAGGCGAAAGTTTCATTGCTCCTAAAAAGAGAGATGTGACAAAAACGACCTTTACCAATAAAGCGCCAATCCCGGCAATTAAGACGTTTCGAATGGAGAGCAGACCTAGATCACCAAGGCCGAGGAAAAAAACAAAACCCAATGACAATAATAAAAGCAAAGACATTTCAGTTTCTTCAGTAACTTTGACAGTAACTACCACAACTACTACATCTACTACCTCAGTTACCACAGTGACTTCAAATGAAATGGAGAATCAGACAGTTCCAGAAAAGGATAATAATACTGATGATATAGAAAAAGTGTCAGAATTGTCAAACGGTGAAAAAGAAATATCCGCACTTGTCCAAAATCAGGAGACTAACTGTGAAAGTGTCACTGTACAACAGAATGCTGAGGTAGAACGAGATAAAGAAGAAAAGAGTCAGAGCATGGTTAAATACACAATTGACGCTTTATTCAATAGAGAAATGGACAAAGTAGAAGTTGCGATGGAGAAGCAGGCTGATTCTATGAAATGCAGTGATCAATCAAAAGATCTTCAATCATCCGCCTCTTCCCAAGAGAAATCGAAGGTTATAAGAAAAGGGAATAGGGAAAAACTAATTACAGTCGAGGAACCTATTAGTTTTACTGAAGTGAATTATCAAATAAATAATGATAATGTCGATGATATTAATTCCAATGTAAGCATTAGTAAAAGCGTTGAGTCAAAGACAGATAAAGAAATGTCTACATGTTTGAATCCTAATAATAATATTGATAGCAATGTTAACACAAATAAAGATTCTCAAGTTCAAATCGACCATCAGGCAACGTCTTCAACTAATCTTCCTTCTAGCTCTTGTACTACATCTTTCTACAGCAGCTGCACACCTACGCAATCGATTATGACAGAGACACAGGCTACATCGATAATACCAAACCATGATGATTTTGACAAAAGATATTTGGACAAAGATGTACAACAGAGTAAAATAGATAACGGAAGCCTCAGGAAGCGAGATAAACCGTTTTACCACAACAATGTATTGAACGATGACATAAGTTCTGTGCAAATGAATCTTTTCCCTTCGAATTCGAACATTTCCAGGCCTCAGATGTTTTCAAGCAACCAGAATTATTACAATCAAATGGGCCATATAAACAACTCAAACCAAATGTTCTCGAATGTTTTGACATCATCGGTATCGACAAATATTCCCATTTCGACCGCACGAGCTGACATATTTTCCCCTGATTTATCCTCGGGCCAGAACTTCCTTTCAAACCAGGGTACACATAATGACGCTTTTGTGCATAATACGAATAATTCATTGTTGAAGCCTCAGAACAACATATTCGTACACGGTTCAGTGGCGCAATTCAGCAATTGTCCAAATCAAAACATACCAAATCAAATATTCACACAGAATCAAAAAGTATTGTATTCACAGACATTACTGCCTCCGTCTAGTCGGGAAAATTCTGCTAAAAACGGTCAGTTTACTAATAAATTTGTTCCTTCTAGTATTGTGACTTCAACAGTTTCACAGCTGAACTGTGATAATTTTAGCATGAACATGACTCATAGGCCAATGAATCAGGCTAACCAAGATCCACAGTTACAGACCAAATTTATCCCGAGTGTGTCTCTAAACTCCAATGTGCACGCTTCTATTTCTCAATTGAACTGTGATAATTTCAGTATGAACAGTATTGCGAATAGATCGAGTATTCATTCTACGGGCCAAGATAATTCAAATTCTACACAGGCTGGTGGTTTCTCTCATAAACTTCTACCTTCTAGCATTTCAAATTCCAACGCCCAGACTTCAGTGTCAAATATAAACTGTGATAATTTCAGCATGAGCAATATAACGCATAGATCGAACATTAATATGAGCCAAAGCTCTTCGAATTCGACACAAACCCAGAGTAATCATTTTCCTCATAAACTGATATCTTCGAGCATATCTAATTCAAATCAAGTACCTACGATGGTTTCTCATTTGGGTTGTGATAATTTCGGCTTGGGCAGTGAAGCACAACATGCAAATACAAGTCAAAATATTTCAATTTCTACACAAACTCAGTCCAACCAATTTTCTCATAAACTCGTACCTTCGAGCATTTCAAATTCTTCGGCTCCACAATTGAGCTGTGATAACTTCAGGATGAGCAATATAACGCACAGGTCAAATCCTGCGAGTCGAGAGGCAAACTCAGCTCAAATTCCAACAAGCCAAAATCTGTTTTCGCACAAACAGGTACTTTCAAGCGTCCAGAATATTGTGTCTTCGTCTTCTCAATTAAACTGTGATAACTTCAGCATGAGCAATATAACACACAGGTCAAATCAGGAAACAAACTCAACGCAAACTCAAACGAATCAAAATGCTTTTTCGCATAAACAAGTGCATTCAAACGTTCAAAATATATCTTCTTCGACTTCTTCTGTTCAGTTGAACTGTGATAATTTCAGCATGAACAACATAACGCATAGGCCGACAAATTCAAATCAGGATAATATTAACAACGCCACACAGACTAATCGTATGTTCTCCCACAAACGCATACCTTCTAGTGCTTCAAGCGCACAACCGAGTTCTCAGACTTTGAATTGTGACTTCTCAATGAACAGTGGTACGCACCAGCCAAACATTCCGATGGTCCAGGAGAAAGCTTGTCAAAATCAGCTAAACATTTTAAATGAGCCAGATTCGAACATGTTAGAATTCAATCAGAATGGGCAAGGAAAGACCGCTCCCGTTTGTGTAATTACAAAGGAAAAAAACGCACAGTGCAGGGATAAAAACGACAAACTTTATTCGACAAACACAGAAGGAAACAGCTTTAAAACAGACGGAGCCGTCTGCTCGCATGATTTACTCCGTATTTCCAAAGAAATAGAAAGGAACCCATTTATACCTATTGACGATGTCCGTTTAAGTTCAGACTTTTCAAATGACCTTTTCAGTTCTCTTCAGGTTCCAACGGGTGGACAGCATTCAGAATCGATATCGCCTACTGCTGCTTTCCTCTTGGCATTTCCTTTAGTTTCAACGTCTAAAAACGTGGACAGCCTGAATGAACCAGAAAACCATGAAAATCAGACTTCCACGCCTACGACCATTCTCCAAATTGGCAATATCGACACGCCAAGTACAGAAATGTTCCAACCCTTAGAATTTGGCAAAGGGAAAGAGTATGACATGAATACGGATTATTTAGGTGATGTCCAAATGAAATGCAAGAGGAAAGAAGCAGAGAAGAAAATTAAACCTATCGCCAATAATTATCAAATCCCGTACAACTATCCGGCAAATCCTCCTGCCGAATACAACCAACAGTACGAACAACCCTGGACAGAATCTCAAAACAATAAAGCAAAACAAACCGAAAGAAAAAAGCAAGATAAATTGCAAAAGAATTACAATTATGAATACTATAAAAATGATAAGAAAAAGAAAAGTAAAATTTCCGTTCATTGGATGACCACACCTGAGACTGAAGTATACTCTAGGGAGAATGAATCATCTTTCCTATCATCGAGCAGCCAATACAATATGGAAATAGACAATATCCCAGATTTATACACTAGCAAGAAGAATTCTTATTCTTGGTCACCGAGCAAATCTTTATTGCCCCTTGACAATAATTTAATGATCCCTACATCCACTTTACCGACTCTTGTCGGAGACTTAGCTCTCGGTACAACAACACCGTCTGATGTTTTCAAAAGGTGCGAAAAGAAAACCCCCGAGAAAAATGAAGAGAAAAGACTACAATCGAAAACCCAGGCGAACTTCTTATCCGTGAGCCAGTTGGTCGATCCCAAGTCGAAAAAGCTCAAACCGCCTGAAAGGCAATACAAAAAGCAAGAGAAAAGGAGAAACGTCAACTATCCCAAGAGAAAAGATGCACAAGACCCTTGTATGTTCAATGATAATTTCGTACCGAATTTTAGCTGGGACAAACGTTACAAGGGCAACTACAGCGCCGAATCTCTCATAGCCACGCAAGATATAAATGAGACCTTTAACTATCAGCAGAACAATTATTTCCAAAACACAGAATTCATGCACGATGCCAGTGGGCAAAGTAATCAGTACCAGAACTGCTTGAACTTCCCGCAGAATCATTTTTCAAGTTTCATCCCTGACGAGTACCAGAGTGATAACTTTGGGTATGTTAAATTGTTTATTTTTCTGTTTACACATAGATATTTAATATTTTTAATGCACATTTTAAATAATTATTTTTTATTTTGGAAATCTTTGGTTAGACTTGTTTTGAGATTTTGAAAAATTGATCAACTTTTTTTAGTACTTGTTTGCAAAATTCCTGTTGAATCAATATTTAAAGCTACAAAAAAAAAAAAAAAAAATTGTGGGAGATTAAATTTTAATGAAATGAACATAAGAAATAAACCAATGAGAGTTAAAAAAAAAATTGTTTTCATAGGATCAACAATGTTAGCACAAGAGCTATACAGCCTTCTGATAAAATGAGGTCAGATCTGAGGTATAAAGAAGACAGTCTGCAAACGAATTTCCTCCAGGGTTATTATCACTCGTCCAACTGCCCGACGACATCGTCCACCATTTCAGCCCAGTCCAATTTCAACATTCCAGCTAGTGCACCGTCTAACTTCAGTTTAACGACAAATACGACGACATCTCTTACCAATTTCAACCTGAGCACTATTTTCCCTGAAATGAATGACCAGGTGAGAAAAATACATTCTTCTCTTATCTTGGTTCTTGGTGTAGGTGTATTTTTAAGATATTTTTTATATGGTTACTTCAGAGATATACTGCATTATCCTTTTGCTGGCATCTGCCCTTCACCGTTCTTTTTTAGATATATACCAAGGCAGGTGCCATGGGGAGAGGGACCGTTTAAGGTTAAAGTGAATCAGCCTCTTACGACCTTTGTGCTGTGTGACCAATATTGGTCTATTATGTAATCTTCATCATTATTTTGAGCTCTAAGCTTAAGACTATTTACCAGATGCCAAAACTTTGTTAAGGGCTCCCGTATCCTGCTCAGATTTTTTGTCCTAGGATTAATAGTTCTGCTGTGGTCCTTTAATGAACTATCACAGATCTCTGTTCTGGAATACAGTTGTGGTCATAGTAGTGAGTGGTTAAGGCATCTGACTCGTAAGAATCTTGGCTAGTAGTTCTTGAGGTTGTGGGTTCGATTCCCACAATTGCCTCTGGATTTTCTGACATCATGGGGAGCAGTGGCCACTACAATAAACAATTAAAAGGGACTCATCGATGGAAACTCCTGAGCAGGTTCCTAAATTCATGCCAGACCCCCTTCAAAAATCAGTTTCTTCAGTGGAACAACACCGAGCCCCCAAAATGTAATTAGTGGGTACAATAAGTGTGGACTGCAGTACTCCTACTCTGACTCCTAGGAACCTATAAAAAAAGAGAGAAATGGTACAAGAATAAAGAACCCAATGAGAATCACTTTATCCTGAGATCCATCATAACCATCTTCCGAACCAAATTACTAAATATAGAAACGTATAAGATCATTTACAAACTATCAGATAACCAGCTCCACAGACTATTCAAGCCAACTGGGATTAGCCAAATAGTAGCTAAAGTTCCATGTTGTGAGGAGCAGATGCTGCTCAGAATCTCGTTAATAAAGAACTTATTAAAAAACAACCAGAAATCTTTTCAACAGATTTCCCACTAAAAAATGGGACTTAACAGATGACCAATGTCGACTAGTCTATAGGGTCAGAAACAACAGAGCGAAGAGAGCCATATAAAACAATTAGCTTGAATAGATGAAAATTTAAGTGCAAAAAAGGAAAATTCTTGTGATTAAGGCAGTTTTTTTTTTTTTTTTTTTTTTTTTTCAATAAAATAAAAGGATAATACAGTTGCGTTATTATTGAGATGGCCCACATATATCTTAATTTAAAAAAAAAAATCTATATTTGTTTGTTTCAGAGATCTGCTCCATCTAGCCAAGGGAATCATGGACATATGAATTCATTTGTAAACCAAAATTACAGGAGCCACCCTCCAATTTAAATAATTTGATTAATTGGGTTACAATGTTGAAATGAAATTTAAACTGAATTATTTACACTGAATTGTAATTCAATTCCTCATAGGTCTTAATGTAAAAAGTGTACATAAAAATATAAAAACAAAAATGAGACTATCAGGTTTTAAAGTTAATATATTATTTTATTTTATTTATTTATTTTTTTTTTTTGTAAGAAAAGTGCAAAATAGAATTTCTCAAATCGAAAAAAAGATTTCTATTTTTGTATTAAAAAATTACTAATATTTTTATTAAAGAAATCAATCAAATGCAATAATGTGTAATTTTTTCCTTTCTGGTTTTCATTTACGTGGACTGTAAGTATTTTTATCATTAATTTACGAAATTAGTGGTTTATTATAATACAATTAATTAAGGTTTTTAGTTGAGATAAAAAAGTCAATGGCACGAGCGGGATTCGAACCCACGATCTTCGACTAGATTTGAATTTTCCCTTTTTTTTGCCATTTTTTCCTTCTTTTTCAGAAGGTGGGGTTGAGATGGGAAGTTAGTGTTCGAGTGGATCGAGGTCACGATAGCTCAAGTGGTAGAGCACGGCGTATCTAGCCGAAGATCGTGGGCTCGAATCCCGCTCGTGCCATTGACTTTTTTATCTCAACTAAAAATCTTAATTAATTGTAATATATTAATTGGTCAAGCAGACCACGAAATTAGTGAAGTTTATTATAATGTTGTTTACTTATTATACTTAGATTATTAGAGTAAAGTAATTCCTGTCAGAGAGTAGGGCATTACATCCAACTTGGATGACAGATATACATCTTCAAACTGATGGTTATACAATTTCAATGGTTTATTAATTTCATGTCCTTGTTTTAGTCGGCCGTTGGATAATCAATTGCTAATTTTAAACTTATGTTGAGGTGAGCGGCCCCAGAAGAAAAGTCCTAATGCTTCATTCAAAACATTTATTGATAACGTTTCGGACGTCTCACGTCCTTCATCAGGTACATAATCGTTTTTTGTGTCAGTAACACCCTTTCCGGTGTCCCAAACCAACAGCCATTTAGGGGAAGAATTTATTAATTTGGTTATTAATTTATTTAGGAATTTATTTTGCCCTAAATGGCTGATGTCTAGCCGCTCTGTAAAAAATGCTTCAAAAGTTTAAATAAAATGCTGTACTTTAATTACTTTGATCGCTCTGATGATATTTCCATTTTGTTTAATGGCTTAATTACCCCATACCTCAGTGGCTTAACAAACTGGGATTCTTAAAACATTCTGAAAATGTTTCCATTTTTGGGATAAGTTCATTTCTTTTTCTATAGAGTATTTTGTATCGCACATTTTTCCTACTGCTTTTGATTTTTCTATAAAATAATGCCTATAATTTAAGCTCGGAGTCAGAGATTTTTTAATTGATATATATAGTGGCACTGAACTGAACATATACATCTCAGCAAACATTTGATATGTCATTGTGACGACGCAGCAACTTTGATTCATTCATGTCTTTTATAGTCTTATTCAGTTTGCATATATTAATACTATCATATGCGATTTTGTAGTCAATAAAATGATGTGGCCTACACTTTTCTACTATATATTCTTAAGCTTGATTATTTGATCAGTGGTAATTTACCGTTTCTAACTTCAAGGCACTATGTAGTAAAGGAATTTGTATAAAAAATAATAGTACGCACAATATTCATAATTACACAGTTCGACTAGTAGAAAAGCAAAAAAAGTTGACCCATGTGATATTGTTCAACAATTTATTATAAAAAATCTCCATGGAAACATTCTGAGAGTTAATTGTAATTCTTTTGTGTGAATACATTGAGACGATTTTCTCTGTTCTTTTGTGTTACCGACTTAATAAGGAGATTGCTTGAGTTTGCTAATTTGAAGATTCAAGATCGACAGATTGGAAGACAATATTGATTTAAATTGTTTTTCAATTTTCAATACCCTGCAGTGACTGTAAGTGTACTACTGAAACCGTTGAGATTTTTTGACAGTGAGACATAAAAATATTAATTTTATCCATTAATACACGTTATTAACAGTATATTAAAACTACAACATCACTTGATTTGATATAGGAAATTAAATACAACTGCGTGTTACGCAGTGCGTAAAGTATATACATTGTACTTATTCATCACATCCCTAAGACCAATTTGCTTTCTTAAATAAAACACATTAAAGAAATGAATTTTTTCGCGGCTGCAAGTGCTGTTGGATTTGCCTATTGCTTGTTCAATTCTTTTTTGACAATAAGAGAAGATAGGCGACAAAAAGAAAAAGAAAGGCGAGCAGCTGAAGAGAGAAAGAAAAGAGAATATGCCGAACTAAGAAAGCGTAGATTCGGCGTGAAACTTGATTTATCTGAAATAATTAAAAAATGCAGCGGACCCAACCTTGAGATACTCGAAAATATGGATGAGGAAACGCTTAAGGAAATAGTAAAAGCATGCGGTTTTCAACAATTCAACGATGTAACATTAGCCACCGGCGAGGCTGCTTTGAGATTCGGTGGATCACAACTCATGTTCGACATTGTGAATGGATGCCCTACTCTCGATAAGTGAGTCAATATCAAATTATTGCAGTCTACACTTTTAACTATAATTTAACAATTTCATTGTGATTTCAGAGATGCGGATAAATTTCTACTTTTCCCCCCAGCTAAACAGTGAATTTCTACCTCATTCAAGACCAACATTTCGTATAAAATAAAGACTTTCTAATTATTAAGACTTTTTTTCTAATATAAGATTAAAAAGTATATATATACTTCTGTATTAAATAATATAATTTATTTAATATTAATTATATTTATTACTTATATTATTAAGATATATATTAAAGATATAATGTAAGTCCTGTCGTATAGGAGGGTTTAACATCAACAACTATCAGTTAGGTGGTGTGGAGGAGTGGTCAATTCTCAATTAAAATAGCATAAGTTATGCTGAACTTAGAATTGCTAGTGTGGCATATGAGCTAAACTTCCTAGTCACTCACCCAACATTTACACGAGTGAATCTTTTTCCCTTTGTCTCTAATAATCATAATAATAGCAAACAATATTAACAGCATATTAAGCAATAATAACAATAATTTAATAAGAATTTATAAATTTACTAATTTTTTAAATAATAATAGTGATAATTTTTTTAATGAGGGTATTTCAACTATAAGTTATATGAACTCTTGGAGTGCCAATATTTAGAAAAAAAAAAAATTGTATGTCAGGTTCAAAGACAGAGCTGCTGGATTTGAACCTTATAGTGATGAGCGATTTGTCAACCCTTAAAATGTTGCAGCCACCGACACCCCCGATGATTGATCATCTTGGAAATAATCTTGGAATCTACACTCTACCGATGGGAACATTATTATTAAGTTAAAGAAAGGAACAAAGAAAGTATGTTTTATTACACATTCCATAGTCATGTGTCGCTGTCTGGAATGCAGTGGCTTCTCCTCTTCGGTTAGCCCTGCTTCTTATCCATCCTGGATTGACAGCATGGCTGATGTGCAGTTGCACAAAGCCAAAAAATGTATTTTTTTTGTTTTTGGTATTATTGTATTAATTTCTAACAATTACACATCCATGTTACAAAGAATACTTTTTAAACAGTTCAAATTATATTTTCACAGACACATCATTTAAAAATTTTATTATCAAGTTATACACACTGGGATTCTTGAGTAGAGCTCTACTTTTCGTAATTGGGTATTCTACTCCTTCTATCTCCAAATCCTGGTAGAATTTATTTCTGGCCGATGAATGTTGGCTGCAGTGAAATGTTATGTGTGTTGGGTCCTCCTTTACTCTGCATGTGTTGCAATTAGGGTGTTGTTTTATGTCAATCTTGTGAAGATACGCTGCACAGATGCCATGGTTTGTTCTTAACCGATGTATGGTGGTTAATATTTTCTTTGATGATTGATCAGCCTTCTCAGTTTAAATATACTTTTTTCTTTGCAAAAGGTAGATTAGGGGATGAGGCCAGGAAGACAGAAACAACATTTATTTTCTTGTCGAGCTTTTGGCAGAATATATCCGTTATCCACACATGTACCTGTTCATGTAATATAACGATTTTTTTCGAAGTCCTGATGAAGGCGATAATTCTGCCAATTTATGGTGGTTATGTCTTTTTTTTGCCATGTCTAGCTTGTTAAACCACGGTTTTATTTTCACAAGTGGAAATAATGTTTTATAGGCCATTCCCTTATCCGAGGCAGAACATTCGTTTTGCCATTCTATTTGACTTCTTGTTTCCAATATTTGAAAAAGGTACGTATAAGGGATCTTTATGATTCTAGGGGTGGGTAACTGTGTGTCATTTTTTGCAAGTTTGTCGGCTTTTTCGTTGCCGTATACGCCCATATGTCCTTTAATCCACATGAAAGAGACTTTTTTTAAGTGGAAAAATTGTTAGCAGTCTTTTTTATGTCAGCTACAATATAATTTTTGTTGTTAGTAGATGTGTTTTGCAAGCACTGGATTGCACTGAGGCTGTCTGTGCAAATTATAATGTGATTCGTTTTAGTAAGGTTGAGTGAAAAGAAAGTTAGCGCTGCCTTAATTGTTAATAATTCTGCTGAATAGATTGATATCTCTGCCGGCAGAGGAATTGATTCCCCTTTATTAATGCTAGGGCAGAACCAGGAGCATCCAACATTTCCAGACATGAGGGATCCGTCGGTGTAAACAGTTGTGGTCATTAGGGAAAAGTTCCTCAAGATGAAATTGAAATTTATTTTTATTTACAAAATATATGCAGTATTTACAAAGAAATTAAAAAACTGGCTTCAGGCTTCCTGCCTATATACCTGATCTGAAGTTTAAAAAAAACTAATTTAAACATATCTCAATATTAACACAGAGGGGGGAAAAAATTAAAAAAAAACCTTTATGTTATATAGTTAATTTACAGCAAAATGTGCTTCACTCTTTTGTACTTATATTTTTTGTAAAGTGTCTGCAAGGAGGCAGCTTCATAGTTAACAATATTTCTAATATTAGTGTATTCTCTAAGTTCACAAGCTTTAGTAGTCTATTGGCATTCACCTTTAAAAGGAACCAATCAGTCTCAAGCATTTGTTCTGCACAACCTGCAACTTCCTGTAGTTGGTGATACATGTATTAGACCAGACAGGAGCCGCATACGACAACATGGGTCGAATATACAAATAATAAATTAACTTTTTATTAAATATACTCAATCAGAGTGTCTATTTAACAACGGAAATAGATTGCAGATCAGAGCCACTCCTCTATCGCATACCGTGTTGATGTGCTTGGTGAATGTGAGCTTTGAGTCCAGCATCAAACCGAGATACTTTACTTCTTTTTTCCATGGAATACACCTTCCATTTATTGTCACAAAACAATCATTAGGCCTTCTGCAAGTGAACAGAATCACCTCTGTTTTTGACTCATTGGGTCTGATCCGCTACCTGTAGAAGTAATTAAATGTTTTCTCAAGGGCTAGTGAGAGATGCCTAGCTATTGTATCTACCCTGAAAGACGAGATCATAAAAGCGGTGTCATTAGCATATAGGGCACACTTTGGCTTAACTCGGTTATACCATTAATCAATAAATTGAACAATGTGGGCCCAAGGACAGAGCCTTGGGATACACCAGCAGCAATTGGCCAAAAGTCAGTGCTTACGTCGTTAAGCGAGACACAAAATTTCCTATCTACCAGATAACTCCTTATTAAATAAACTATGTATTTGGGAAAGTTATAACTGATTAACTTAAAGACAAGCCCATTGTGCCGCAGTCGAATGCTTTTTCAACATCAAGCAGTGCCATCCCAGTGTGCTTGTTCAAATTAAAATTGTGCAAAATATATATATATATATATATATACAGGGTGAATTGCTACTCGTGCTACAAACTTCTCCAGTAGATTCTTCACCCTAAAATGAACAAAAAAGTTCATATTGTCCATGGTCCGATTCTCAACCATTTCAGAGTAATTTCGCTTTTTATCGATTTNGCATTTTTTAATTATTTCAGATAAATCAAGTTTCACGCCGAATCTACGCTTTCTTAGTTCGGCATATTCTCTTTTCTTTCTCTCTTCAGCTGCTCGCCTTTCTTTTTCTTTTTGTCGCCTATCTTCTCTTATTGTCAAAAAAGAATTGAACAAGCAATAGGCAAATCCAACAGCACTTGCAGCCGCGAAAAAATTCATTTCTTTAATGTGTTTTATTTAAGAAAGCAAATTGGTCTTAGGGATGTGATGAATAAGTACAATGTATATACTTTACGCACTGCGTAACACGCAGTTGTATTTAATTTCCTATATCAAATCAAGTGATGTTGTAGTTTTAATATACTGTTAATAACGTGTATTAATGGATAAAATTAATATTTTTATGTCTCACTGTCAAAAAATCTCAACGGTTTCAGTAGTACACTTACAGTCACTGCAGGGTATTGAAAATTGAAAAACAATTTAAATCAATATTGTCTTCCAATCTGTCGATCTTGAATCTTCAAATTAGCAAACTCAAGCAATCTCCTTATTAAGTCGGTAACACAAAAGAACAGAGAAAATCGTCTCAATGTATTCACACAAAAGAATTACAATTAACTCTCAGAATGTTTCCATGGAGATTTTTTATAATAAATTGTTGAACAATATCACATGGGTCAACTTTTTTTGCTTTTCTACTAGTCGAACTGTGTAATTATGAATATTGCGCGTACTATTATTTTTTATACAAATTCCTTTACTACATAGTGCCTTGAAGTTAGAAACGGTAAATTACCACTGATCAAATAATCAAGCTTAAGAATATATAGTAGAAAAGTGTAGGCCACATCATTTTATTGACTACAAAATCGCATATGATAGTATTAATATATGCAAACTGAATAAGACTATAAAAGACATGAATGTATCAAAGTTGCTGCGTCGTCACAATGACATATCAAATGTTTGCTATGATGTATATGTTCAGTTCAGTGCCACTAAATATATCAATTAAAAAATCTCTGACTCCGAGCTTAAATTATAGGCATTATTTTATAGAAAAATCAAAAGCAGTAGGAAAAATGTGCGATGCAAAATACGCTATAGAAAAAAAAATGAAATCCTAAAAATGGAAAATTTTTCAGAATGTTTTAAGAATCCCAGTTTGTTAAGCAGCTGAGGTATGGGGTAGTTAAGCCATTAAACAAAATGGAAATATCATCGGAGCGATCATAGTAATTAAAGTGCGGCATTTTATTTAAACTCTTGAAGCATTTTCTACAGAGGCTATACATCAGTGCAATTGACAGGGGATAAAAAAAAAATCCATCCAGATCGTATACATTTGACCAACTCAGGATTCCAAAACAAGAACAAACAGACTAGGATGTTCAATGAGAGGTAAAAAAATTAATAAACCATTGAAATTGTATAACCATCAATTTGAAGATGTTTATCTGTCAGAAAATTGGAAGGGTATCTCTTTATTAGATTTTTTCTTGAAATTTTGACAGAGGTAAAATTCGTGGTAATCGGTGTTTTTTTTTGGCCAATATTTTTTTGTTAGATTCATTATGGACAAATCACAGATGCGCTGAGCTGTTTTTTTTGCGCTGTGTGATGTTTTTTTTTCTCCATTTGGTGCAACACAAACCGTCCTGCCAGTTTTTCTCTTCTATGAGAAAGTGGCTGATCGTTACATTCAGCTTTGATTACATCATTGGGGGTGCTCTTTAAGAGACCCCATACAAGTTTTGAGAGATTTGTGCTGTATGATGTCCAATTTCTTTAATTTTGATCTAGAAGCTTGTCCGTAATAAATTGATTTAAAGTCAATTATAGATCTAATTGTTGCTTTGTAGTAAAGTAAGCTGATTGTAGGGTTAACATCCTGAAATACATTTCAGTGGATTATAAAATTTCTCTGCTTTATTTCTGGGAATTTTTTATTGAGCCTGTTCAATGGCGTTTCTGCCAAATAAATTTATAATTTACTGGAGAGTGCATATTTCTCCAGGTAGTTAAGCTTGGAATCATAGAAAGCACATCACTCCTTCATTGGTCTTTATCCACGTCTCCAGGAGGTTCCAGGTTCCAGGTGCTTGACCGGCGTTTTGTCAGACCTGAGTCCACAATGGACAATGAAATTGTTGTGGTGGTATTTTAGATGACTAAAATAAAAAAAAACAAAAAAAAAAAAAAAAAAAAAAAAAAAAAAAAAAAAACATTGGGTACATCCTATTTTATGGGAAAGATTTTTGCTAGGAACATAAAACATTAATGGGTGAACTGACAAGTGACGAAACAAAGTGAAATTAAAGTTTCTGCGTTTGATTCCATGATACGCTAGTGCATGCGCTGATCTACTGAATGCAAAATGACCCGACATCGATATCGGCACGATCCCGTTCACATACACCGGTCCGGGCATTTTGCCAGCGCTCTGCAGTGACAAAACATCCAACGGAAATGCCGGGCTTAGTGTTTTTGCCGGATCCGGCTAAATGTGAACTTCATATAAAATGTACAGCCACTGGCCTTTCTGGCATAGTGGGAACAGGGGCCTTAGTTACACACATTTTTAAAAACCCGATTTTTAAAAACATTAACAAACAATTATCAATGATTGTTTATTAATGTCGTTTGTCTGTTGTTGTTGCCTGCTTTCCTGCTGGTAGGTCTAGATGCTGAGCCAACTTCATCTTCAATTTTTTGGCATCTCCTCTGGCTCGAAATGTTAGGCAAAAGAAAGTAACACGTGCACTTGGAAATATAGGAAAACACTCGAGATTATTTTTCAAAACAAATTTATTGAGACAAAATATCCATGTAGTTTTTTTTTTTACACATGACAAACTTTGTTACAATATTCATTTAAAAATCTTTTACGCTTACAATTTATTATGGCTTAGTTCAGATTGTGAATAGTTTGGTAGAAACTATACAATTAAGAAACTACCTTATAAATTTCCCTATATTAATCAAACGTAACCGGCTGTGAAACAAAAATAAATTAACAGAAATGAACTAAAACAAAACAATTTTACTAAGACTAAAACTAAAGTTCATCCTGCCAAAAAAATAGGGAAGGAGGAGCACGAAAGATCACTTTAAAAAATTATGTTTAATTAGTGAACTTTGAAACATGTAAAAAATATTTTTTTCTTTATCGGTATAATATTAAATAGTCTATTCGAATTACAATAATAATTGGTAAGTTGGCCACTAAATAATTCGAGCACAGCCTTTTCCTTTATATACATAAAATCACCAAATGCTAACATCGATTTAGACAAATTGAATTATTGGGTTTTAAATAAAAACTGAGTTTTAACAAGAAAAATAACTAAGAGCACTAAAACTGTTTCCCAATATTTTGCATTTTTTTTATCAACTGAAGTACATTGTAATAAAGGTCATTTTCTTTACTTAATTAAATGCAATTATTTAAATATCACACAGACTAAAAAAAAAATATGGCAGTGGCTAGAAAAATAATTCCGAATGAGTATTTTCTAAAATATACAATATACTAAAAAAGGGGGGCAAGGATATTTAATTAAAATACAATGAACACACCGAACGTTTTCCTTAATCTGTTTCTAGGTTTGGGGAGGGCGGCTCAAAATTTAAAACAAAATCATCCTTGAAGTCTCGAGTTACAAATTACAAGACTTATTTAAATTCCTAAGTCGTAAGATATTAGAGAGACAATCTAAATCAACTACATATTACACTCAGATAATACTTGATACATGGCTGGAGCAGTTTGTGTCAAACGATCTTCTGCTTCTTGCGAAGTGTCTCCTGTGCCTCTCTCAAGAGTGTGTCGAACGAATCGCACGACCGCGAGTTCTGGTACGGATTGTTATAGGTCTGAGGTATACTATCTACAAATACAGATTATGTATTAAAATACCGTTTTTGCTATATATCAAAACAATCTGCAATAACAATTACCTAAATCAGCGTAACGTTGTTTGCAAAAAGCCCTCCGGCCTCCGAAACATATGTCATATCTTTGTTCAAAAGGATCATCATTGCCGTGTTCCACTGCGTCATAAGCATCGATTTTGAACATGAAGGTAACAAAGCCGTAGTTATCCCTAGAGAAATGGATATATAACAAGGGGAGTAACTAAACTGACTGAACTGATCTTACCCTCTTTCTCTAAAGTGAAGGCTTATATCAACTATAGGTCCAAACTTTTGGAACCTCTCACGTAGTTGCGCTTTAGTAGTGCCTTCTGCGATTTGACCGACGTATACGACACGCCGTTCCTCGATCTGCTTCTGTTTCTCGACAGGGCTCCAGTCATCGTGTTTCCTGTACGACCTCTCGGATGAATAACGGGATCGGTTGTGCGAGCTTCTACGATAGTCACTTCTCGATCTCGACCTCCTGTATCTTTTTGAACTTCTCGAATGAGATCTATTCGAAAGTGAAGATCTGAAACGTTGATATTTTTGTGTTAAAAGAAAAAATAAAATAAATTATTTAAATTATCCAACAAAACTAATGCTTACATTGAAGTTGAGGATGATTTTGATCTTGACCGTGATCTTGATGATGACCATGAAGATCGTTGTCTGCTCCCTCGGCTGTACCGTCTCCTGAAAAAAACAATAAAAAAATGGTTGATGAAACAAATCAAATTTCATAAAGCTTAAAAAAAATGTTGTTAAAAATGAGCATTATTTTTAGTTGATAAATCACTAACAACGGGGAAGGCTAAGGACGTGGTATCATCCATTTTAATTAAACTTTGGTTAGTGGTACTACACCGAAAAATGTTGATACATGCACATTCTTGCCAGTAGGGCCCAAGAGCCAAGAAAAAATGTGGTTTTCTGTTTTTATTGTGAATTTATTTCAAAATTTAAATATCAAGACAATTTACTTCTCTAAGGACAAGAAAGTAATAAGGAAGAAACAGAAATGAGATTAGAATTATATAGCATTTTTCAGTCAAATGAAACTTTTAACAATCAAATGAAACTTTTTTTCAATCAAATGAAATCTTTTTTCAATCAAAGGAAACTTTTTTTCAATCAAATGAAACCTTTTTTCAATCAAATGAAACTTCTTTTTCAATCAAACGAAACCTTTTTTTAATCAAATGAAACTTTTTTTCAATCAAATGAAACCTTTCCTCAATCAAATGAAACTTTTTTTTCAATCAAATGAAACCTTTTTTCAATCAAATGAAACTTTTTTTTTTCAATCAAATGAAACTTTTTTTCAACCAAACGAAACCTTTTTTTTAATCAAATGAAACTTTTTTTCAATCAAATGAAACCTTTCCTCAATCAAATGGAAACTTTTTTTCAATCAAATGAAACCTTTTTTCAATCAAATGAAACTTAACTTTTTTTCAACCAAACGAAACCTTTTTTTTAATCAAATGAAACTTTTTTTCAATCAAATGAAACCTTTCCTCAATCAAATGAAACTTTTTTTTTCAATCAAATGAAACCTTTTTTCAATCAAATGAAACTTTTTTTCAAGTAAATGAAACCTAAAATTTAATGAAATAATTATGAAGAGGCAATGACATTACAGTACTAATTTTTATGATGATTGAATATTAATATTACAATTAATTAAGGTTTTTAGTTGAGATGAAAAAAAGCTAATGGCACGAGAGGGATTTGAACCCACGACCTTCGGCTAGATACGCCGCTGCTCTACCATCTGAGCTATCGTGACCTCGATCTAATGATTTAATTGGTCAAGCGGACCACGAAATTAGTGAATTTAAGAAATTAATATTACAATAATTTACGATTCAATAATTGAACAAATATATATAAAGATATAAAGGAAGATTATAAATACATAATGTTATATGTATATATATGTATGTGTGTGTGTGTGTTAATGCAGAGGTCTTCCTGTGGCAGTTACCGGTAGTTTTAACAGTCAGTACTTGTAATTGTGTTGACACTGCAGTTGATGATCTCTGGAAGATCATTGTTGATGTTGGTAGAATTGCTTTCAGAAACATCCTTCTCGCACTTGCTTTTATTTTTGAAAAGGTGTGTTCAGCATCGGTGAGTTATTAATAATAACTAATAAATTAATAATAATAAATTTTATGTAATCAAAGGGTTACAAATGGGGTTTTATATTAATTATAAATATTATATTATAACAAATTAACAAAATATTATAACAAATATTAATAATAACTTCATTGATTACGATATTGCCACTGCGCATTTTTATCTTTTATCTTTAATCACTAATTTATAATTAATTGCTTACAGTATTTGCTATTATAATAGTTATTTGTGTTATAATTCATAAAAATTATTGTTAGTACTATAATGTCATTTATTTATTCCTCTACACAATTATTATCACTAGGTTTTAGGTTTCATTTGCTTGAAAAAAGGTTTCATTTGATTGAAAAAAGTTCCATTTGGTAGAAAAAGTTTCATTTGACTGAAAAATGCTATAAGATATCATGCCCCTGTAAAGTTTCCTGTGAATCCAAGGAGTCGGTTTATCCCATTCAAATTGTTTGCCTTCCAAATCATGTTATTTTTTCCAAAAATCATAACAATAACAATCATAACTTTGAAATCAATCCATTGATCTTGAGGAAACTTTACAAAGGCTATCTAACCCTACGAACTACACAGAATGGCAAAAACTTGGCCTCTGCAAGTAAATTATAACATGATAAATAGTTTTTGTCAATTTTTCTCTTCTAAGACCCAATTAGCGAGAATGCTAAAGACACAACGTGGAAGAATTTTTGACCTTAGAATTTTTTCAAATTAAAATTGATGATCCCACGACTCCTCACATAGTAAGTATTAAAGTTATTAAGTAAAGGAAAGTAATTAATTACCTTCTGCTTTTCCGCCTGTGCCTTCTGGACTTGGACGCCACACTTGATGAGCTGGACGATGTCGAACTTCTTCTGTACCTTTGCCTCTGGCGGCTCCTACATAAATACAATTTTTAAATACAGTACAATAAACAAAAGTCAAAAAGTAAAACTGATTGTAAAATTACCTGTCTTTGGTAATATTTTCTTCTCTGTCGGTATGAGTCTGTACTTCAACATTGACCATAACCCTCATAGAGTTGCAATCTATAATTAAATAAGAATAAATAAAATAGGTGATACTTTTAAGCCATTGACAGAATTACCACTATTTTCTATTTTAATTTCAGGTATATGGTGGGTGTTGGGCGTTGTAATATTTTTTCTACGACTCCTGTATTCTTCAAGGTTCAATTTTTTCTTCTTTGGCTCCTGTTTCACGATTATCGATTCTTGAATATCAATGTTTTCCTCTTTTACGACGACTGATTCGTGATCATTCAAGTCGAACGAGCTTTCCTGTTTTTCATTTTTTATTTCCACTTTAGGCACTTGGCAGTCTTCATTTTTATTTGTGAAGTCGTCCTCTTGTTTAATTTCAAAATGATTGATACGCAATAAGCTTTCCCCTGGTTTAACCTTCAATTAACGGTGAAAAGTTGGGATGAGTTATTTACGAAAAAGTTTATTAAGTATTTTTTTTAGGTTATTAAACAAACTAGAAATTATGAGAGGAAGAGATGGCAGGGAATTTTTTTAAATGTTAGTTTCAAAGAAATGAAAGGAAAGAACAGCTGTGCATTGATATATAAGAAGATACCTTTTTCCTTAATCTTGTACAACATATTTCTCATTTGTAAAATGCAATGTACATGATTCTTATTCTATTAATTTTAATTAAATTAACCAAAATATTCTTGTTAGATAAAACAAATTAGAAAATACAAATAAAAAACATGCGTGAGTCACAGCCTTTACAAAGGCAGTCAGTTATGGCACGGAATCTATGTCCACGACCATACTACACTGATTATCATACAGAATGTATCTTTGATTGTTCATTGAGGAAATTGTTCTGGAAGCTGAGGTCCCATTCGCTCCATTTATAGGGGAGACAACTTTGTGTTAATGCATGATAATGCTCGACTACACGTAGCTCGAGTAGCCACTTGGAAGATGATGTAGGGATTACCCCGAATGAATCGATCAGAAAGTTTTCCTGACAGGAATAACAACACTTATGGGGACATAAAAAGACTGATTAGACGTCGTTCGTTGCTTCCTACGAGCAATGAACAGCTTCAAACCGCTTTTCTTGAAGAATGAGATTCAGTTTCACAAAACATAATCCGGTTACTTATTTACTCGATGCCTAGGAAAAGCTTAGGCCAGAGCAAAACTAGCTAATAAATTGTTAATTAACTTTAAATATATCACTAAAATTATTTTCCGGTATTTGGTGAATTCTGTCTCAAACCATTAAAATTAAAAATTTTAAAATTAAAACTCACAAATTGTTGATCCTGTTTATTTGGTTTATATTTAAATATCTATGTTGTAATTAATATAACGATAAAATTCCATATAGTTTGAAATAAAAAACAAATCTGTCTTTGAGTATATAAATTCCCGATGCCTTTTTTTTAAATAAGCATAAATTTCATAAATTATTTAATAGAAATGTTTATTATTTACAATTTTAAAATAAGACAATGAGAAAGCAGACACCCTTGCAGGGAAAGGGGCTGCCAGACCGCTGATAGGACCCGAACCCTTCTGTGGCATAGGAATCCACACTATTAACGAATATCTCAGACAGAAGGACAAAAAGAAAATGAACGAACAATGGAATTCACTCATTGGACATAGACAATCCAAGAATCTTCTAACCAAATTCGGTAGGAAAGAAATCACAGAATGTTTCAAAGGAAGCAGGAACAGACTGCAAATCCTAACAGGACACTCCAGATTAAATGGACACTTAAAGAAAACTGGAACAATCCAAGATGGCACATGCAGATTCTGCAAGGAGGCAGAAGAGACACCAACACATTTACTTACAAACTGCGGAGCTAGATTAGCCCGCAGGAGGAAACGTTTAGGGATGTAGAAAGTGACCATAGAAGAGCTTCAACCACTGAAACCGGGCCTATTAATCAAGTTTCTTGATGAAATAGGACTCACTGATGTGCTTTAGGCAGAGAAAAGGGCATACAATAGCTCTTAAAGAGCGCAGTATACTATACCCTGAAAAATCACATCTACATCTACAATTTTAAAATAATGTTTCCACGAAGAGAAACAAATAGAACTTGATGATAAAATTTGTAAATATATCACAATATATATCAATATACAAGTTCACCGTATAACAGTGAAGTTCTATTAATAAATATTTAGTTTTATAAATCTAATCAAATGAGAAGTTGTGAATAATGGAAGAAAAATGTGCACACACCTGCACATAGAAAATACCAGAAGTAATTGTTCATTATCTAATAATGTGTGGTGATTAGTGACCGTTAATCGATATTTATTTAGAAATCGCGAGATGCGGTCTGGTGTGATATAGGTTTCAGAAAAACATTTTCTTTATCGTGCCAACGTTTCGATCTTTATTGAAATCATCTTCGGGGCCTGGGATTTACAAACATTGTTTACATATAACAATTACATTTTGGATGTGGAAAAGTGAATGTATACAATGCAAAATATATTTTTTATATATTCAATCAAAGTATTTCTACTCACTCAAAGTGTTTGTCTTCTGTGTAATTGTGCCATTTTTGCGTGTCGTGTCGAGAGTGCCAATAAGATTTTGCTATTTGTGTTTATATATGTTGGATTTTGAAGGGGTGGGGAAGGATGTCAGTATAGAAAAGACATTTTTGTATAAGGCGTCGGCTTCTTTGAGGTGAAAAGAGCCGACGAAGGGAAAAAATGTTTCGGCCAGATTATCCTTTCAGGATTGTATAGAAAGGGATAAATAGGAAAAGGAAAGGTAAATTGTTGGACAATTAGACTATGAAAAATATTTGATGTGTGGAATGTAATGTGATGATATAGGTATGTTAACTGTATTGAATTTGATTAATGATATTGGCGTAGCTGCGACTGAGTTTACATGTATCTGTTCTGTAATTGATGCTGTGTTTATCTCTGTTGATATAAACCATTTCTAAGAAATTACGTTTATGTTTTTGTTCTGTGTGTAATACTTTTAGATTTTTGAAGTCGAAATTATGTTGGTGTTCAAGATGGTGGGTAGCGAGTGCTGTAGGATTTTGCTTGGGTTTTTTGCAATCATAGATATGTTGCTTTACTCTCTTGTCCAGATATTGAGATGTAAGACCGATGTAAGTTGCCGGACAGTTTAAACAGTTGATCTTGTAGATTACGCCAGATTTATTTGTTATTGGTGTGGGATCCTTAATTTTGGAAAAAAGTGTTTGAATTGTTTTATAATTTTTGAAAGCTATTTTGAAGTTATCGGACAAGAGAAATGTGTTTAATTTATGTGATAGACCTTGGATAAATGGTATGGAAATGTATGCTGGTTTGTTTGTATTCGATAGACTTAATGTAGTATTATTAGTAATATGGTGTTAGTGTTGAGTTGTAATTGTTGATTATTCTGTTAATTATGATATTGTTATGGACGATCTGTTTGTATCTATGTTTTTGTGCTGGAAGGATTCATGGCTTAAGGTAATCATTCTGTGAAGTAACACTTTGGCCATGTTTATTATTGTATGAAGGGGATGGTGAGATGTAAAGTTGAGGTAGCGATCTGTTTCTTGGTTTTTGATACCAATCTGTGATTAATGTGCCATCTGGTTGTTTTACTACGAGTGTATCTAAAAATGGTATTTTTTTGTTGTTTTCGATTTCATGTGTAAATTGTGGGTGAAAGCTATTAAATATATCTAATGTAGTTTGAATTTGATCTGTCTCTCTGCAACTCTTGACACGAACGCAAGAATGGCACAATTACACAGAAGACAAACACTTTGAGTGAGTAGAAATACTTTGATTGAATATATAAAATATATTTTGCATTGTATACATTCACTTTTCCACATCCAAAATGTATTTGTTAAATGTAAACAATGTTTGTAAATCCCAGGCCCTGAAGATGATCTCAATAAAGATTGAAACGTTGGCACTATAAAGAAAATGTTTTTCCGAAACCTACATCACACCACACCGCATCTCACGATTTCTAAATAAATTATCTAATAATGTTAGTTACAAAGCAGTTTTCGTTAAACCCAACAAAACATTATTCGGTGCCTATATAAAATTGTCTCTAGAGTGCTTTTTTATTTGTTATTGAAGCAATTAAGCAACACTCGAAGTCACATGCGAACATACAAATATTCTTTTGTAAGAGCAAGACACTGAACAAAGGAAAAGCTGTTTTTTTTTGTTTTTTTTTTCAAGACAAATATAAAGTGTTTTTGGCCTTTCATTAAACAAACGATGCCAACCTGCTTAAAGACAATTCGCTTTTCTTGAGTGGTTTCGCTGGCATCGCTCACGTCGCCAGATTCTAGGCCGCTGTCTTTTTTCGAGTTCTTCTCCCAATTTTCAACTGACTGAATGTCTTTTTGGTTTATTTTCTGACACGTCGATTTCTTATAACCGCCGCAGTAATCATGATCTAAATGGATGGACACTTCGCTTTTTGTTTCGTCCTGATACAGTATGAAACGTTTGTTGTAAAAATCGTAAAACAAAACAAAATATGATTTTGGAAATTGATAAGGATCCTAACCGGAGCCGTGGTTTTGACTCGTCGTTGCCTTTTACTCTCGGGATCCATTTGGATAGCAGGAATTAAAGAAATACATTTCCTTCTTTTGGATGCAGCCTATAATTTTAAAATTGACATGATGTTAATGAAATGTTTGGATTAACCGACTGATAAATGTTTCAATAAGGTAACCTTCAATAAAATAAGAAAAAATCATTTTTGATGATGATGAATTATTAACATAAATTTAAATAAATCATTCAAATTAAAAAGGATCTTGTAAGGATTGGTTTGTTGACTGTAAACCCACAAAAGTCCCTAGGGGCTACTTTTAAAAATATTTTTATTGCCACAGTTTAGAAAGGGATAATTTATAATAAAAATTTTTTTTAAAAAATAATAAAAATTATACCTTTATCCTGTCAATTACTTCTTTTGGTAATAAATCAGTTGATTTATTATTCTCCTTTTCTTTTGTCTCCAAAGTGACTGGTTGTGTCGCCAAATCAAACTGCTTAGTTTCAACATTTTGCACTTGGTCAACTTTTGTGTCTAAAAAAAAATTAATAAATTAAAAAAGGCAATTTATTTTACAAAAGAAACACACATTGGTCTAAATGAGGAGTTGGGTTAATTAAGTTGTCTTCTTCTATTGTTATTTCGACTATTTCATAATTGTCAGGTCCCAGGTCAGACGGTTGAAAAGCACCGAATCGATCGGATTGAAGGCTGGCTTCTTGTGAAAATCTGAAACCGACAAGCAACGGATTAATTAAGAACAACTCTCGCCAGCTCACATTACTTACACATTTCCTAAGTTAAACGGTTTCGAAGCCTGATTTTCATGGTTTGCACTTATCGATTTCAGGCCAGGGCCAAATATGTCTGGTAAATTTTCACTGACTGATTCATAAAGCAGTTCGATACCCGAGTCTATTACTTTCAGCGTTGTATCTTCTTCTTTACACTGAAATTTTTACTTATATAGATTATACAAAGCAGTTTATCAGGTTTGTAAAACATAAAAAATAGTGTTTTCGATCATAAATTGAATAAAGATTTCAAACATGTGTAAACAAATTTAATGAATACATGAACCATTTTTTCCCACTGCTTGTCATTATCTTTCTTTTGTAATTCTATCCTACCAGAACGTCTCTGGTTTTTGAGAAATGATTTCAGGCATCTCTGTAAAGACACATGGAGGGCAAATATTATCCTGTTGATGGAAAACAATCCTCTTGTGATTAGCTATTGCCAGTAGTTTTTGGTAAAATGCTGAATATAATTTCTCTAATCTATGCGTTATATACTAGAATTAACAGTTTTGTTGGGCAGAAGAAGTTCATGATAAAGAACTCCCTTCCAATACTACCTAATGTGATTTCCCGTTTCCTCCCAGAATATTGCCATAAAGGATGCAATTTTAATCCCGTTACCAATCTTTTTTAAAAAGGGTCATTTCCAATGTGATTTGGCGGGGAATCACGGATGGAAGTGTGCTTTCACAAATTCTTCTCAGACAATATAAGACGAACCAACATTCTCAACATTTGTACGAGATATTTTGCGATGTATCGTGCCAATTGAGTGTGGGTTTTATTTGTGACAAAAACTTGAATTTGATAATCGTCAATAGTTGAAGGAAGGCCAGGGGACTTTGCACCTGCTAAATCAAAATATCTGCTTCTGAACCGAGCAAAAATTATGTACAGGTCCTTTCTCCTAAAACATCACCATACAGATGACAAATTTTCAGTCTGAGCTACTGTTTTCCCTTTGCAAAAAAACCATTAAATGGTGAAAATGCACTATTTTCCCTCTATTTTAAACGAGTGGAACATCTCACAAAAATACAAGAACTCGATAATACAAACAAATAAAATGTAACTAATCACATTTCAGAGCATGTAAACAATAACGACTAAATAAAAAGTGCTTCAAAACAAAAGAGGTACAAAATTCAATTATTGAAAAACACTACGGATAAATTTTATGAGCCAATAATTAAGGTAATTTCTTAAAAAGTAAAATAAAGCATTGAAAAATAACCACCACAAAAATAATGTCTGTACAAAAATAAATTTTATTTATCTATCTTTTAAAGCTTCATTTTTATTGAAGATATGTTAAAATTACATAATTACATAATTCAAGACCAACAGCAGTTTTTTTAACTTTTATTTTAGAGACCAATACTTTGATAAGGATATTGTTATCAATAAATGATGTCTAATAACAGTGATAAACTAGAATCTTTGGTGTAAGCAAATTACAAGTGAAAAAAAAAAATAAATAAATAAAAATAAAACACAAATTAATTAAACAAACCTGCTGCAAGTTAGTAATGTGGTTTTCCCAATCTTGAAATGTCTTTTGGAAGTCTTCTTTGTTGTCTTTGGTGCATCTTGTACTTCTGAAAAACGAGTATAGATATTAATAAAATATACATATAAAAAATACTATTAGATGTTTTCTAAAATTAGTAAAACACTTACTCGCCATAGTTCCAATTTTCTTTCGTGGGCTCGAGTGCAAAATCTCCCATTAAACCGTTAAAAATGGAATTCTCACTTTCGAACCCATTGCTCTTTTGACAAAATGTAAAACAAATTAAATCATTTTAAAGACTTTTTTAATCGACTTTAAACTCTAACCTGATCATAAATATCTGAGGAAAAATACTCGTCGTGTTGATTTACGAAACCTGCTTCCATTTCCAGTTCCTCTCAGATTAAATGAAACTATCGAACAAATTAACACTTTAGTACAACAGTAAATCAAATAATTAAATGTAGTTAGACTTATTTTCAGATGAACGAATGTTTATGAAATAAAATTAATGGACAAAAAAACAAATCTTGGTAAATCAATTATGTACATTCAGCTATCTTCAGAAAATAACTCGATACCAACTATAGTTTCCTTTATTATTAATAAAAATTGCAAAACTGTCAATTTCAAGATGTAAACAGTTTATTATTGTGTCAATAAATAAACATTTATCAGAACTTTATCACCTTCAACCCAACTCTTGCCAGTCCTTTCATTCAGGGAACAAACATTACAAATAAAAACATCAGTAACACAATGGTTACGAAATAAATTTAAATTTATTAAAAATTGTTCAAGTTGCTTACAATAAACACTTCGTGCACTCAACCTACACTATATGTAGGTAATTGTTTTCTGTTTAACAATTCGTTTTTCTGCAAATTAAGAAAAATACTCTATAAAGCAACCTCAAAAATAGCAAACAATCAAGAAATAACATTAGGAATCTTATTGGGCAATGAAGGAGCATTTGATACACTCCTTTTGGACAATGGTTACATCACTGAAACGCGATGAACTGATGAAATCTGCTCCAGATTTATAGAAGCAATGCTAAAAGCTGAAAGGTAGAAGATGTCCATAAGGAGTGGATCAAGACCTCATATGCAAACTAAATGATACATAGTTTCTATTAACCTGGAACCCTCACCTGCAGCATATCATAACGAAAGATAAAATATCGCTAATAATCACAAGAAGAACTAGGCAAATCTTGAGGACTAAAACCGAAAATGGCCCAGTGGCTAGGCACTGCAGTAATAAAACCCAAAATAACTGATGGATCACTAATCAGGTGGACCAAAGCAGTCAAATGCATAGGTTTCACCTTGTTCTCAGGATCTATTCCTGCACATCCTGGGATCCAGTAGAGCCTAACCTTGTTTTGTGAATCTAGTTTAGTTATGCAATTCAGCACCATCCTTGAGCGATGTTTGAGTTTAATGCTCTGTTGGCTGCTTGGTTATCCGATATGATGGCTATGTCCTTATTTTTATACCCACTTGTTTTTGTATTCAAAATGAATTGAGTCCACGTCAGATTTCAGCTTGAAAAACACAGGTGTGTTTTAATAACTAAGATGCACATTTATAGTGTGAATGTCTATGCCACAAAAGGACTCAGGATCTGTCAGCAGTGTCACAGCTATTTCTTTGCTAGGGAATCCGCTTCCCTTCACTCCTGCATGTTTAAAAAGGCTAGTATATTTTGGTTTTGGGGCCAATACGACACCTGAACCTTCTTGCCTTCTAGAACGGTGTACAGCGAGTCAGGACAATGGATTCAATAGTTCTTTAACACCACAGTATAAACATACCAAAGATAAACAGGCTTAAGTTTTCCAATGAAGAAGAGTAAAAAAGCCTTGAGGGCAACCACCTGCACGACATAGGAAACTCTATAGAGCAGGGAAAGTTCCAAGGAAAGAAACGGTTGTCCATATGGAACCAAGCGTTTTTTGTTTTCTGGGAAATTTTTAAAGCCTGAGGTGAGAATCCTAATTATAAAAAATGGCTAGGTCGATTGACTTCAACGCCGGGGTTAACTTACTCGTCCCTCCAAACCTGGCACCACGTGGGTGTGGGTTGGAAGCGTTTGGCACGATCTTTGCATAATTCAATACGACGATTTTGTCAATTCTTCTTTATTTTATTACATTTAAACATGTCGTTTTCTTAAATTTTAAACTTTAAATCTAAACTTTAGCACGGCTAAAGTTGACTCCATCGTGCACCGACAAAATCGGTAGTTAAGGATATTTGTACCTTCGTCAACAACCAAGAGGTAGTTTAAGCCTTTTAAAACGAAATTCACCTGTTGTCACGGCTGGGAAAAAAACATAAAAGCAGAAAAAATAGATTCACCCTTCAATTCGTCTAAGGTTATGGAAAGATTTCGTTATGCCGACCTCGACTGAGATAAAATTACACCTTTTCTTTGTCAGCCGAGGTGGGCGGTCAAAGAAGAAAAGTGTTATTTATAGAGTTGTTTTAATAAAAGACTGATGGAAGAAAAGAAAGGATAAAAAAAGGCGTGCGGCCCAGGGTTTTGTCAAGGAACTCACCAAAGCGATTAGGATTCAGCCTCGTCCGCAGTATCACAGAAACTGTTCACAGCACATTTCACAGAACGGCACAGAATGTCAATGAGATGGTACCTCGTACTTGTACCTCGCCGTTCACGGACCGAACCGACTCTGGCAAAGTGGCAAGTACGCGGCCTGATCGGAGAGCTAACTTAACCCGCGTCACATGAGTTTTTTCACCTAGGCCTTCGCGGACGTCCGCTTGGATAGATTTGCATTTAAAACCGTCTCATTATTTATTTATTTTAAAGTAGAAGCATATTAAAAAAATGCTTGTATATATTTACCACTCAAATATTGTCTTGGGTTTGCAAACGTTCGTTCTTTTCAATTGTATAAAAATGATTACTGGCATTTCCCTCTTAAATATGAATTGCACAGGTCATGGAAGACCTACACTTTATTAGAAATGATAAAAGTACGGAGAAGTATGTCGTTTAATCTTTAAAAGAAAAAGATAGTTCTTACTCAGATTTTGTTGGATCAAAAATCTGGATTTCCAGCTTAAAGCTCATCAAGTTAGAAGAGTGACTTACAATTCATATCGAGAGACGTATTTGTAAATCCTTCAACCTGAGCTTTAAGCTTAAAATTCAGGTAGTTAAAAACAACAAACTGTGTAAGAACTATTTTTTTTAAAAACATCTACTTTTTCTTTTTTTAAATATTCCTTCTTTTGTCATTTATTTTCAATTTAATATAAACAAAAGTCTCACTATCTAAACTAATTCTTGCAGGAGTCGTCGGGACACTGTTTTAGGAATTGCGGGTTACTCCTGCTCAAATTTTTTAACTCAAATTTCTTTTTCTCAATTCTTTATAATCACAAACCTCCTTTTCCGGAACTTTATTTTAAATTCTTTTGCTGATAAATATCAAATTGATGCTGTATACACTGACTTTTCTAAGGAAATTGAAAAATAACTTCTTATAGCCAAATTAGCCGCTCTTGGTTTACTTGACACTCTTTTAAGTTGGTCCTTCTTCTTTAACTTAATCTTACCAATAGAAGACAATATGTTAAATTAAAATCCTATTATTCTTTTATTTTTCTTGAATCCTCTGGAATCCCCAGGGATCTCATTTAGACTCCTTTCTATTTTTTTATTGTAGAATTTTTTTTTATTAACAGTAACTCAATAAAATGTAAATACATATTATGTTTACAATGAGAACGAAAAATAAAATACATGTTACACAGGTAATAAACCGTCTGCCGAGGCTCCTTTCTATTTAATATTTTGTCTAAAGTAGTATAGTCCAAGTTAATTTCATACAGTTTTTCGTTTGTAATTTTTAGGCCGAGGATGACTGCAAAGCAGTTGAAAAGCTTTCCATGAAACCAAAATAAACTGTGCTGGAACTAAAAGAAATTTTCTTCAAACATAGATTCTTTCTTAAGGAGTTCCATAGCTTTGAGTGTACTACTTTAGAAAATATTGAATTCTTGTTTAGCTGAACCCTGTCTATTTAACATCTTCATTGATAATATAGTTTCTGCTCTTAATGATAAACAGTTTCTTCTATTTACAGACGACACCAAAATATTCCATACAATCCACTTTGAATATGATATTCATTTACTGTCGATACTAATTAACTTGGAAAAGTAGTGCATCAACAACTAAGTATATGACGGGGGGGGGGGGCTACGGCAGCCGAGTGGTTAAGGCGTCAGACTCTCGGCTAGTAGATCCCGCAGTTGTGGGTTCGATCCCCACCGTCGCTTCTAGACTTTTTCTGACGCCTAAGGGGACCGGTGGCTGCAATTGAAAGAAATTGACACGGCACTTATCAATGGAAGGGGCGGGATCAGATCTCAGCGACCCTGAATTTGGGCCCAACCCCCTTCAAAAAATGAGTTTCTTCGATGGAAGAACACCGGTACAACGAGAACTCAACTTCAAATTTGTGTTGCGAGCCCTCCCCCAAAATATGGAGCCAGGGATAAAGTACAATAAGCTGTACAGCTCAGCTGCAGTGCTCAGGAGGGAACTCCTCCAGTCCCTGGTATCCAAAAAAAAAAAAAAAGTATATGACACTCAACAATAACAAATGCAACTTCATCTCTTTTACCAGATTTGTAAAGGGCGATTATTGAGCTGTACAAATTTTCAGTTGTGTTGTAAATTTGTCTGGTCCATTACGCTATGAAATTCGTAGATGACCTAGTCATTTTTCATGCAGAAGGAACCTTTGATGTAGTAAAATTGCAAATCATTCATGATGAAACAGTATAAATATACAAGACAACTACTGAGCTTTATTCCTTGATTCAAGAGTAAGAGCATGTAAGAAAGAGATTCCTTGGTTTAAATATACATCAAAATACAACACTTGATAAAATGTAGTAAATCAAAATGAACCCAATTAAGTTTGTTGTACCTCCTTTTACCAAATAAATGCATAACTACACGACATAGTCTAGCTTATATTTGAAAATGTTAGAATTAAAAGAGATGTTTTGCTAGATTAAAGCATTGTTGCCTTGCATTATTTACCTAGTGGATAGAATCAGAGATTGTTTTCATGCAAACTGCAAAACAGTTCAACTGCAGCATTTAGTATGGCATGTGAGACCAATGGGTGAAATAGGATAAGAGAAAAATTACCTGTAATTGCAATCCTTGGGTTCTCGGGACAGAATTGTCTGCAAAGGTGGAAATAACTCAGGTTAGAGGCAAGGAAAATACTTCGCAAGAAATCAAGTTCAAGAAAGCTTCGCCTAAATTTACAATAGACACAATGAAAAAAACTTAAGTTATGCAAATGAAAATACTGTTTTATGTATGAAAATAATGTTCTACCAAGAATAGTAAGAAACTGTGTCGTATCAAACTGTTTTACCAATTGAATTACTAATTTGTACAATTGTAAATCACTAATTAAAGAAAAAGGTTTTTGAAATTAGTTAAAGTATTTAAATTTTAAATTTAAAAATTGTTTACTTAGAATTATCATTCTACAGTAATAAAAATGCTTGTTTTTGTTATATGCTGAGATAAATCTGTAGTAATAGTAAAACGAAAATAATTCCTGTTATATAAGGGCTTAACTACCGTTGGGTGTTATAAACGAACAACTTTAACAGTCAAACAACTTTAAAATACATTTTTTACACCATTATCAATTAAAAAGCCATGAGCTCTGCCGGGATTCGGACCTAGAAACATAGCAAATACAAATCGGACATCCCAACCACTTAGCCACCACAGTTCCTTGAGATACATCTGTAGTTCTTAAAAAATATGGCTTATATGTTAGCATTCAGACTAACTTATTTAGTAAGAAACATGCGTTGTTGTATTTTATACTTTTTGTTTTTACAGTGAAAGAATTATTACAATATCAAATTTAATTAAGTACACTTTAATTTATTTATAATATTTTTCCATTTTTGCCATTTAATGTTGTTAGCATGTATGAACATTTAATGTAAAGAGCTTTCATATGTTAGAAACAGCTAGATTACCTCATTTTTAACATCTCTAAAACTTTAGTTATTAGTTTGTTTTATTTTATTTGTTTATTTTTTCTATAAAGAAAAAGCCCAAAATTATAACGGACCAAGATGAGTAGCATCCACTTTCACCCGTTTCCATCAAAATACTGGACAAGTAAGTGTTTGTTTAGAACTAAAAAAAAAAAAAATATTAAAATACAAATAAAGAACATAATGAGCATTTATGAAATATATGTATATAATTTATTATTGTAAAACAGAAGAGAAGGGCTTAAACGAAAGGCCCCTTTTAAAAAGAAACTATGGCACTTTTGTATGAACAGCTTAAAATCAGATGTGTTGTAGTAATAACATGTGAGATTGAGTTGCATTTTACAAGTTTTAAAACTAGAATATTTGCTCTTTCAGCAATAAGCAATAAAAGCAATAATTTTTTATTTATTTTTTTTAAATTTATTTATTTATTTTTTTATTTATTTTTTTTTTTACAATGGGTACCAGGGACAGGAGCTGTTCCCTCCTGAGCACTGCAGCTGAGCTGTAGAGCTTATTGTACTTTATCCCTGGCTCCATGTTTTTTTTTGGGGGGGGGGCTCGCAACTACAAATGTGAACTTGAGCCCCCGTTGTGCCGGTGTTCGTCCATCAAAAAAACTTCATTTTTGAAGGGGGTTGGGACCAAATTCAGGGTCGCTGAGATCCGATCCCGCCCCTTCCATTGATAAGTGCCGTGTCAATTTCTTTCAATTGCGGCCACCCTTAGGTGTCAGAAAAAGTCCAGAGGCGATGGTGGGGATCGAACCCACGACCACGGGATCTACTAGCCAAGAGTCTGACGCCTTAACCACTCAGCTACTGCTGCCCCCAGGCTGTATTGTTGGCCGTAACCAATTTTTCCGAAAATGCCGGATTTTTAGGAAATCATTACATCCCTAGGGGAACTATGAGTACAGAAAGTCTTGGTCTTATTCATCTGCATACTGGGACATTGTGGCATTTGTGTTAACAACCTTGAGCATTGACAGTTTCTGACGAAGATTTGCATTTCATACATCCACAATTAGATATGGGAAAATTGGCTTAAAAAATGAAGTGAAGTTAATCACAATAAACTGAGGTAAATTAGGATAGAGGTTAAACAATGGCCCTTCACTGTGCGGACATCCTGTAAAGAGGAAAGGTCTTGGCACACCCAAGAATAGGGCATTTTAGGCTTACTCATAGATTCCTCATCAAATCGCCTCGAATTTGCCAAAGCTGTCAAAAACTATTAACAATCAAGTACATCTTAAATGTCTTTAATTTGAGATGGAAATGAAAATTTATTTTTTCCATTTGAAGTAAGGATTCTATTTTTTTCTAATGTGTCCGATCTCTGCTAATAGATTTCCTGGAAAGTTTTGTTTATTTTACGTAGTAAAACAATTCTTCTCAGGGCTATGTTACCAAGGTCTAGCTCAAGAATGATTTTCCTACATACCATAGCCTTTTTCTAGCTATTGCAAGGCAATTTTATAGGAAATGTTTTATTGTCTCTATCTCTTCTAGACGTAATTGACATTGATCTTCTATTGAAAGTTCCATTTTTAAAAAGTGGTACTTCACTGGAGTACATCCCATACATGAACCAGTTAGAGATTTTAATTCCTTCTGTTGAGTAGGAATTCCTCTTTCTTTCATTGGGTAGTTTTTGTGACTAGTCTTTTTTGCCTGGTTTTATGCTCTCAGTATCTATTGCGTACTTTAGTTACCCGAGATTCCAATTATTTTTTTAAGTGGCGATAGTTTATTATATAATTAGGCAGATAGTTCTGATGCTAAATTTTAGCAAGTATTGCTATGTTTTCTGAAATTCCCTCATGAATTGAGACCCTTTTTAACGTAGGACTGTTAGTAGATTACAGTTTTTTTTAGAACATTTAAGCAGTTCTAGACAAGGTTGGAATTGATCTTGTAGCTTGGAGAGGCTTTAGAACTGCCTGGCTAACTGAAAGTATTATTCTTGATGCAGCCTTGAGATGATTTATTTCATGTGCTCATGTTTTTATAGCTAACGGCTTGAATGAGTGCTGTAGAGTGGCTGAGGGTTGATGGTTGTGGTGCATGTAGTTAGGCCTCTTTTTGCCTATACCCATGCCATTTCTCATTTTTGAGCCATATGTATACCATAGAAAAGCTCCAGGATTAGCTTCTTTTTTTTCCATTTAGTTGTGTTTTCATTGGATGGTTCTTCAAATTTCTCTGATATGCCAGAGAGTTTTAGGCATTACGTTATTAAGGCACCAAGTTATTTTAATTTTGTCGAAGATTTTAGTATGGCTAGCATTTGTTAGATGCTTTCTTTCCACTGTCCAAATCCTCAATTACAATCATCCTTTCACATAGAAAGGTGGCAGTTTTAATAGCACCAGTCAGGCATGGCATGCTAATTTTTTTTTGTATTTTAACCTCAACATTTTAACTTATGATTTTTCCTTCTTGGAGGTGGGATAATAGGTCATCTCGAAAAAACCACAACCAGTTTTTATCCACAATGCTTCGGATTCATTTTAATCCTTCCTCAGGTGAGTTAATGGAATGGTTCAAACAGTGGTCGTCAGTCATTTATATTTTATAACAGTTTATTTTAAAAAGATCCAGTGTGGTACATAGTACATAGTCTTTCAAACTAGGATTCTAGTCAGGTTCAAAATATTAAAACGTTTGTTCGGAGTCTGAAAGACTTAAATATGTACCACACTGGCTCTTTTTTAAAATAAACTGTTATAAAATATTAATGACTGACAACCACTGTTTTAACCATTGCGTTAACTCACCTGAGGAAGGATTAAAATAAATACGAAACTTTGTGGATAAAAACTGGTTGCGGTTTTTTTGAGATGACCTAGTATCCCACCTTCAAGAAGGAAAAATCATGAGCTAATTTTTTTGTTAACTTTTGTAATAGTTCCTCTACCAAATGCCAACTTGTAAATAGGAAAGAATCTGATTGTTCTTTATATTATCTTTATGGTTTCTGCTCTAATAGATCAACTGTTACTAACCTGCTCACATTTCAAAATTACATCTTAGATGCAATAAACTCTGGACACCAAGTAGACTTAGTGTATACTGATTTTTCTAAAGCTTTTGATAAAGTAAATCACACAATACTGTTAAGGAAACTAATGGATTATGGTTTCACCGGAACTATCTTGAATTGGTTATCCAGCTTTCTCTCAGACAGAAAACAAATAGTCAAAATAAAATAATTTAAATCATGTCCCTATGCGGCTTCCTCGGGAGTCCCGTAAGGGTCTCATCTTGAACCAATTTTGTTTCTCTTATTTATTAATGATATCCATCTTGCTCTCCCTTCTGCTCAATTTTTATTATTTGCTGAAAATCTATTCCATAATCACTTCTCCTTCTGATTGCTTACAATTACAAAATTCTATCAATAATGTGCCAACCTGGTGCTCTAATAACAAACTTGCTCTTAATGTTTCCAAATGCTACACAATTACATTCTCTCATAAGAAACAACCTTTTATTTATCTCTATACTCTCCATGATGCTCTTTTAACGTGAGTTGAGGTCGTAAAGGATCTTGGTGTACTTTTTGATCAAAAGCTCAAGTTTAAAGAACATAAATTCACTATTTTCGTGATCCGCTTGACCAATTAATACAAGACAATTAATTAAGGTTTTTAGTTAAGATGAAAAAAAGCTAATGGCACGAGAGGGATTTGAACCCACGACCTTCGGCTAGATACGCCGCTGCTCTACCACCTGAGCTATCGTGACCTCGATCCACTTGGACATCAACTCCCCATCTCAACCCCACCTTATGAAAAATGGCAAAAGGAGGGAAAACTCATAAGATGGGGTTGAGAAGGGGAGTTGATGTCCGAGTGGATCGAGGTCACGATAGCTCAGGTGGTAGAGCAGCGGCATATCTAGCCGAAGGTCGTGGGTTCGAATCCCGCTCGTGCCATTGACTTTTTCATCTCAACTAAAAACCTTAATTAATTGTCTTTTAAAGAACATATTTCTTCAATAAAAAATAGATCTATGAAGATGCTAGGTTTCATCATCCGGAACACCTATGAATTTAAAAATCCTCTATGTTTTGTCCATCTTTATAAAGCTTTTGTACAACCTATACTAGAATATGCTACACCTGATTGGAACCCATTCTATCTAAATTATCAAAAAATTCTTCAATCTGTACAAAACAAATTTTTAAAAAACTTTCCTACAAACTCAATCTTCCTTCGAATTCTGCCTACCCTGGAATCCGCTCTGAATTTAAACTTTTCGAACTGGCACTAAGAAGTGCTTAATACTACTTTAATATAGTTTTGTATTTAAATTATTAAACAATCTCATTGATAGTCCTTCTCTCCTCTCTCAACTACAGCTACATGTCCATTCGCACTCTCTTAAAACCTATAAATTATTTTATATTGAATTCCAAAGCTCTAACTACATGCTCTCTTCTCCTCTGCACAGAATGATGATCAAGAGTAACATCTGCATTGACTTCTTCAGTAGTTCTGTGCAATCTGTGAAAAACCTTATCCTACAACCTTAGTTGAATGCTTTTATATTTCATACTGTACAAAATTATTAGAATTTATTTCATTTACTGGTTCAACTAATTCTCGCACTCTAGTCTTATTATATATTTACAAAGAGCATTATATTCATTAAATATATACCTAATTATTGTAGTTTCAATTGTCTTTCAGCTTTATTTTGTTTTCTCTGCCTTATTTGGTTAGTAATTATGTCTTTCATTTTTGTTGTGCAGTTTTTACTCTTTAATTGTAGTTTTATATTTATAATTTATATTTACCATTTATATTATTACCATTATTACTATACGTCCTTATTCTTTTTATATATATTATTTGTATTTTTACATATATTATTTATATTTTTTGTTATTGTAAAATATCTTTTTTTATAGTGGATTTCGATCCGTAAATAAATATTGTATTTCAGTCAATCCAAGCAATGCAATTATACGGGGTCGGTTTGTCAAGACCAAAATGTATCCGACAGCGTCAGAAATTAAAGACAGCCTTGGGTCTGTAATGGCAGACGTATTTTTCTCAACGTTGACCCCTGACGTCAAAGACTGTGTTTGTCGAATAAAGCATTTATTTATTTTAAAACTGGCAATTATAATACTAAAATGTTTGTAAATTTAAAGATTGGTTTGGGCAAATCGTTAAAAGGGCCACAGGGCAGTCTGTGGACTTCACCACTGCACGAACAAGATGTCGACAATAGAAATAGAAAGATGACTGAAGTACCGTCGCTCCATCTCGTACAAAGCTTCACACATGCGGGCATTGCAAGTAGGATACATTGAAATCATACCGATTGGTCAAAATAATAACTGTAAATTGTTCCAAGAAATGGGTGAAAAGTACGAAGCTAAGCAAGAGAAGATGGTCAAAGAGACTATTGAAAAAGCACTTGTGGACCAGGAAAGATCTCTATCAAAACTAATGGAAGAGAAATTGAGGGAAATGAGGGAAAAGACGAAATGTGAGTTTTTCCAATTGTACTCGTTACGTATGAAAGAAGTGTTTCTACAGCTCAAAAAGCAGTTTGAAGTAAGTTAAAAGTTTTTTATAAGCATAAGTTATTAACTCAATTTTTTAAAATGTATTAGGAGCGTTTAGCAGAGAGGGAAAAAATTATAAGGCAGGAGTTAGAAGCTGAAAAAGAACACGCACTAAACACACTAAAAAGATCTATGGAATGTGAAGTTCAAAATATTGTCAGAGAACTTAATATTAATTTTGACCAAAGACTCAAATTTATGAACATGTGGGATGCAAATCAGCACTATGAAGAATTCTGTGTACAAACTAGGTACTTTTCTGATGAATGGAAATTAATAATTAATTATTTTAATTAATTATACTTTTTATTCAAAGCTCAAGATAAAAAACTAATTAATCAATTAATTAAGCTAAATAATCATTAATAATTATATAAAATATTGTAGAAATTGTATGACTTTTAAATTAAAAGTTTATTCACTAATTTCGTGATCCGCTTGACCAATTAATACATTACAATTAATTAAGGTTTTAGTTGAGATGAAAAAAAGCCAATGGCACGAGAGGGATTCGAGCCCACGACCTTCGGCTAGATACGCCGCTGCTCTACCACCTGAGCTATCGTGACCTTGATCCACTCGGACATCAACTCCCCATCTCAACCCCCCCACTCGTGCCATTGGCTTTTTTTCATCTCAACTAAACACCTTAATTAATTGTAATTAAAAGTTTATCTAAAGCATACAGTGAAATTTGATCATTATTGATCAGTTTGGTCTGCCTATCAGAAACTCCAGGATTACAATACACAAAACAAACCTTGACCATTAACAAACCAGCACTGAAGGTGGCAAGAAGTCAAAGCAGGTCTGACAGACCAAAATGATAGGTAATGACCAAATTACATGTTCATCACGACAAAGTCCTCATTGAAAATTTTTACAAGTTAAAGCATTCCTTTTGAAAAGTGGACTGTTATTTAGACCTGTTCTTCTCTGTTGTCACAACTTTTAATTAATTAAGATATATTGTTTTAGATTTTTTATGAAAAAGTGGTCAGCGCTTTTCCATTGTGCTAAGAAAAATGCGAGTAAGAGCTCAAGAATGGCGTTGAAGAATGCCCACATACACCACAATATGTTTACAATGAAGGTGATTCAGAGGGAAAGAGACAATTTTTACAATGTTCTGTATGAACTTCTCCAATATTTCCAAGGCCGTCTCAAAGAGCTCACCAACGAAGTTGACACATTGAGACATTACATCGAAAGTTTGGATTTGGAAAATGTCGCCCTTTTGGAAAGGAAGGCCTGGGAGTGTGTTTTGAAAGATGTTATCGGCCAGTTCCAGAAGTTTATAAACTACGTGCTCAAAGAAGTCCCAGGGCAGGCAAATTATCTTCTCAGTCTCTCTGAAATCTGTAAAAACAGAAAAGAGTGTCTGAAAAAGGTTGGATTTTTATTTCTGCTAGAGTTTAGTTTTTTTAAATAATCATATGATTTTCAGATAAGGCACAAACAAGAACACTTTGGCTCGCCACAAATCAATCTACAGAAGAACTGGGGTGAAGTTTTCCAGGAGGCGCAGGAGGTCAAGCAACAGCAGTACACACGCCTGGCACAGAGCTCTCACTGTAAAGATGTGGGATGGGGAGGGCCAAAGCCTGAAAAGCAAGAGTCGCCAGAAGACATAGAAGAAAACCTCCACAGGATTCTCCAAGACCAAGAGAAAAGGATGGAGACATTGAATTGGACGAAATACCTTGTTAACTGGATAACATGCAGGCTTAACAACAACGAAGGCGGTTTGCCTGAAATACCGAAGCCACCGTCTGAAGCCGGTTCCCAAGACAGCGAACTGGTCCGCTACTTGGACGAACACATCAGGCAGGAAGAGGTAGAAAAGAGAAAGCCAGTGCCCATGGCTGGATTTATGACGTCTGCAGGAGATGCGATTAATGCGAAAGAGGAGAGGAACCTGCATTTGATGGGCTCTGAACTAGAACAAGAATGGGAAACGGTGGGCATGTCTGACCGAAGGGTCAATTCCCTCATTGACATCCTTGTCGCTCATCCCGAACTGAAAAACGTTATTATTAAACCATGAAGTGGGGAAGAGCAATGGGTTCTGCTACTGTAATAAAAAACAAATTGAAAACAATTAAGTTAACCTTTTTTACCAATTGTATACATTTTGATCACAATTATGTCTGTATGATTTACATTGAGACCTGCTTGTTGTATCTTTCTTGTCAGAATTGCATATCAACTATATAGTAATTGGTCAATATGTTGTAATGTCAATGACAGACCCCAGGAGTGGTTTTTTTTTTCTTTTTCTCTCCACCTCCCCACCATACCTTAGGGAGACCCCATACCGGCAGACCTCGGCCTCTAATCTAGTTTTACTTCTAATTTTGGGTCCTGTGAGGGGAGGAGGCCCAAGGAAGGTAAGGGTAAATTCTTGTATTTCTTGCTGATTATTTGCTCCTATTCTAAAAGGTCTCCCCTTGCTGGTAGACCCCAGGAGTGGTTATTACACTATCAGATGCTTGCACAGCATCAAAGAATGATTACAGTTACTAATGGATGAAAAGAAGGTTGATTAGAATCCATTGTAGTAGAAATGATCCAGGTTTGCGATATACGGTATAATTAGATCAAAGTAGATGGTATGGTTGGTGACTTTTGTGGCATTGGGGTAATGCCAGTAGAAATTAAATTTTTTCTTTTATTATTCTTATAATTATTTCGTATTGATAGTTTGAATCTTTTGTCCCATCAGCGTATTTTATCTGACGTCCTGTTTCAAACAAGTCTTTTGTCCAAGATATCAGGTATATACTCTAAAGCTAAGGTGAAATTGGACATTCTTGGATTTTTGTAAGTTTACTTTGATTGTCTATTTGCAAAGTCAGGATTCTAGACAGAATAGATTCAATATTGGTAGAAAGGATTGCCCAGTATGTTAGTAGAAAAAAATGCAGAGATCAAGTCTATAAATTGTTAAGAGCAAGTGAGCAAATATGATTTTCTGAAAAATCTGAGCTAAAATAGGATGAATAGAAGTGGTAGAGGTACCTTGGAAGAATAGGTTTGTCAGATAAGATTTGACAATAGGGAATATTTGGAAAGATGGTTGCCACCGAGTTTCCATTACATTTATTTTATGTACAATGAGAGCAGTAATTTAATATTTTCTTGTGTGGTATTGTCAGTTTGGATCTTTTGCTCTTTCAGCATTTTGTATAGGTAGTTGTGGGAGGTCTTTATCCTCTACCACCTGACACCTGGCGCCTTCCTTTTATCCTATGTAGCTATGTCTGCACTGCTTAAGGCTAACCACCTTTTAAAAAAAATATATATTAGCCCATTAAAGGCTGGTTTAATGGTGTATTTAACCTGCTCTATCTCCTGGATAGCATCTAGCTACTCAACCATCAGGAGCACTTGGTCTAGAGGTACAATACCCAGTCTTCTTTCTTCGAAGGCCTCCATGAAGCCCTCCGGATAGGGTTTCTGGATTTTGCCAGAGGAATTCTCCATGGTCCTCTTTTTTCACATACTCAAGAATTGTCCTCATTTTTTGACCCCTCTTTGCAGGTGGGCTTTAGCTGGGCATATATTTGGTACCATCAGGCCTAAGAGCAAATTCATCCTGTGAGGTCATCTACTTTGAAACCCCTATTGGGATAGATGGGGGAGGGCTTTTTATCAGCTCCTCTTCTCCTTGCTGGTTTATTTTGAGTGTTTACAGCCTTTGTTGCTTTTTCTTTTTTCTTTAGTTTGTAAGAATTCCCTTGAACAGGGATCTAAATAGTCACCCCAGCATGAGGGGGGGAAGGGTGTAATTAAACTAGAGGTCGCCTGGTATTCAAAGTTTGTTTTAAAAGACTATCCTTCCTTCTAAGCATGAAGCCCTCGGCTAAGTTGTCCGCCTTGGCTTGGAGGATTTGGTTAGGATAGATAGGAAAGGGATAAGTGGTATGGGAGATTATACAGGACATACTTGTGAGTGTTGGGAAGGATAGAATACCTCGCCTAGGCTTAGGGTCCCAGTGCCCATTTAGGCTTCTGATCCTCTCGGCTGGGTTTTGCTCCCTCCGACCTTCAAGAATCAATGATTCTCAGAGGGCACTGCAGGGAGGCAGGCTTGGAGTTCTGCCCCCCTTGAAAACAGGTTTAGACTGGTTTTCCCGTTTGTAAGACGTAAAATAAGATTTAATAGCAAGTCTTTTTGCAATCCTAATTTAAGTCAGGAAGCATCCTAAGGTTTTTCCCAATAAAAAATTAGAAGTCATACTGGAAAAATTCATTAATTCTACACGGCTACATTCTCTCCATGATAACTCCGTGTAAGGTATTTTTGTGAAGGGTTTTCGTTTTTCATGAGATTCAAAAACCGCCGTTAATGAAAAATCTACAAACTGCGAGGCTTAAATTGATTGGGTTGATTCACGATTTTAAAAATTAAAATCTAGTTTTCACTAGTTTGGAAAGCAAAAACGTCCATTTTTATTCAAAAAGATATCAAGAGGCCGACCAACAAGCCAATTATTTGCTTAGACTTTTAACGACAGAGAGGATTTACACTCTGATTCCACTGATTAGTATTTAAAAAAAAAAAGAGGATTGACGAAAGTTTCTGTGTTCAATGGGTCGTTACTTGAAGGATGAAATGTCACGATTGAGTGCTGCGTTGCTTAAACCCAAGGTGCCCCCTAGTGCTCAATATTACCTGAACCATATGTACAAAAATTTTACCTCTTTACAAAAGTTACGTAATGAAATAATCTTAACTTGACACAAATTTCTACTTTATTTATCATCTTTCCTCGTATCAAACCAATCTATCAATTATTTTACTGTGGTTTCTCAGTCGACCTCTTTTTCTTATCTTTATTGGAAGTAAACTATTTTGTTATGACTAATGTTTTGGTTTTATAAACGATACCCTCTTTCCAGTCAACTTGTTTTCTTATATGCTTGTTTTTCTATAGCCGGGAAGCATGATTTCAAGAGGATCTTATCTATCAGTTTTCCTTTTACTACCTGGGGTGCCATAAAAACGAATTTAATTGTTAATTAATTTTCTCACAGTACGTAATCTCGTATATTATTTCCGTTTTATTACTGCCCTAATAACAGATTTTAAGTATTTCTCTTTTCTAGTTATAAATTATCCTGATTTTCTGAAGATCTTCACGCCCCATTTTTACAAAAAGTCTGCCTCCAGCTTTCTTATAAGTACACAACGTACTATTTTTCATAGGTTACAATGATACACGGTGAAAAACGTCATGGATTTCACTGACGAATTCCCATGGAACCTCGACCTTCATACATATCTGTAAAGCATCTTCATCACAAATGTGTGCTTTATGGACAAATATAATTCGTTTTATTTGACATAACTACGGTTCAGCTAGGTAAACTCCGAACCTGAGACACGTAGTAAGGCATCTTTGCCATATCCGTGTGTGTCTCTGTAGACACATTCAATTTACTGGAGATGATAGTGGATTAGGGTGATAATCTCAACCTCAAATGGCATCACAGTAGGGCATCAGCGGCATGCTCGTGTCGTCTTTATAAGGAGCTAATTCGACTCGCGGCATTGAGACATGTCTTGGTCGTGTGGGTGTTTGGCTTAACACTCTTTCATTTTATTTTGGGTGACATCGGACTATCTTCGATCTTAAGGCAAATTTGGCATAAGCCTATCTGCTTTACAGACACAGCCCTGGATGCGACTTTAGAAGAGAGAGGCATCGCCGTAAGGTATCAGCAGCATGCTCGTGTCGTCTTTATAAGGAGCTAATTCGACTCGCGGCACCGAGACATGTCTTAGTCGTGTGGGTGTTTGGCTTTACAGACTCTTTCATTTTATTTGGGGTGACATAGGACTAACTTCGACCGTGAGGCAACTTTGGCATAAGCCTATCTGCTTTACAGACACAGCCCTGGATGCGTCTGGAGAGAGGCATCGCCGTAAGGCATCAGCAGCATGTGCGTATCGTCTTTACAGACACGTATAGTTCAGTGGAACTATCACTGGTTCAATGAGCTAATATCATCGAGAAGGACCTCGAGAGTCATCGTGGAAGCTATTTTTGGCTTGTGAGCGGAAGTCTTTAAAGACCCATCCATTTTATTGGAAGTGGCATCGGTGCAACTAATTAAACTTCGACCTTGAAGCATCTTTGACATATGTATGTATGAATCTTTTCAAAAGATAGTTCTTACGCACAGTTTGTGCGTTTGTGCGTCCACAAACAATGAGTAAGAACTATCTTTTGAAAATATTAATATCCATACTCCTTCATCATTTCTATGCGTTTATGTGTGGAGAAATAACCTCAACCGCCAAAGGCATCTGAGGCATGTGAATGTCGTTTTTATAGGAACATTGATTTTACTGAAGATGACATCGGTGATGTGAGCTAAATCTTCCCGGCACAGCTATAAGGCATCTTCTGCATGACCAAGTGCATCTTTATAAAAATATATAGACATTCATTCAACAAGAGGTAACATCTAATTGTACCTGCACCTCGATGCGAGTAAGGTACATTCAAGATGTGCGAATTTATAGATCTTATAGGCACATTTATTTTAGTGGTAGGGCAGAGAATAGTGAAATGAGATAAGCGAGATACTTCGATCGCGAAGAATCACACTAAGGCATCTTCGGTATGTGCGTCTTTAAAGGCACATTAATATTTTACAGCAGTTGACATCGATGAAGTGAGGGACACCCCCAGATGTAGTAAGACGTTTAGCCTGTGCGCATAAAGTGTTTATATATACATTTATGTTACTGGAGGTGACATCGGAGTTAGGAACTAAACCTTGAACTCGGGACTTCGTAACAAAGCATCTTTGGTATGTGCGCCTTTATAGACATATTCATTTTACAGATAAAATTGATATAGGGAGCTAAACCTCGATCCAGAGGCATCGCCGACCGGCAGTACGAAATCTTTGGAATATTCCTTTGTCTTTATTATAGACACATTCCTTTTATGTGAGTTAATATCAATGTGGTGAGCTAAACCTAGACTCGAGGCATCATACTAATTAGAGAGGCATTTCATCAAATAAGGCGTATATGTAGACACATTAATGTTCTAGAGGTTATGGAACTAGCGAAATAAACCTAGACCTCGAAGCATGTGA